GGAATGAAGTCCAGGTAGCCCCACACTCTTAATATTTTCCTACATTTCTTTAATTCTACTTTGTGTATAATGTTTCCCCCTGGAGCCCTCTCTTGTCAGGATTCTTCATCTTCCTGCTTCAGGCCTAGATTGAAGCTGCTGTTTCCTGGAATTATTTTTGTTCAGTCCCTCATTTTGCTGGAGTGTATCCTCAAAGTAGCTTCCTTAGGAAGGGCACATACATTTTTTTTTTTTTTTGCATCATTGTAACTCTTCATTCTGTCCTCTGACAATGTTCAGTGTCTTCAGAATTCTAAGGGTTTCCAGTCTAGAACCGAACATCCAGCCTGTCTCCTAGCAACCATTTATTTGTTTTTAGGATAAGCATTCTGATGTCATTCTGTTTCCATTTTTTGGGGGTGTGATTTTTTTCTCCTCTTTTTCGATGTCAGGGGGCATTTTATGATTTTTTTTTTTTTTTTTGGTGTGTGTGTTCTAAAATTGCACAATGACGGCAGTATTTTTTTTTTTAAGATTTATTTATTTATTTATGCAAGCACTAGGTACAGTCAGAAGTGCGGGAGGGTGAAAGAATTCACCAGAGTCAGAGCGGAGAGCAGAACAGGCAGACTGACAAGACCCCCTTCTTTTTTAATGGATAGATAACATTTCACACGTTTTAATGGTTATTCATGTGAATCTTTCTGAAACCTTCTTCTGGTTTCTGTTTTCCCTGTTTCTTCACAGTTATGTTTCTAGCTTTTTGGTCCTTATTATGTTTTGGGGTTCCCTTTTCATCTTGAGGGCTTTCTTGGAATACCTGGTGATCCTTTTGTATCTGTGCATATTTCAGAATAAGGTACAAAAAACTGGATGGGTGGTTGAGATTTGTTGACTGCTTGATTTTGTTGAGGATGATCAGTTAGGAAACTCCTGGAGAACCTCCAGACTGTTACAGGGCAACCTTAAAAGGGAAATGAAGTGACCCTGGGATGAATCCTCACCCTCACACTTAAGGACTCAGGACAAGACTCAAGGGCAGGCACATAGTGAAAAGTTAATGAAAAGGTTTGTTCATAAGGAAAATGAGAAGAGGAAGAACACAGAGATTAACTAGTCAATATGTCCTATCAGTAATTCTGTCTGAGCTGGGACCCTGGGTGCTGAAGGCAGGCAAAACGAAGAGCACGCAGGCACACATGTATTCAGTTTTATACCACGCATAGCTACTTAACTCCACCCTTAGTTACCAGCAGCCCCCTTCAGGAAGTTGAGAGTCATGGCAGATTCATGGCATGATGGGAGTTGTAGTTCTAGGCACTTGCAATCTCTTTGGTGTGGAGGTAGAAGTGGAGTCCATAAAACACCAGTGGGTGGAGTTCATTCAGGACACACTGTTAACCCTCAGCAAAACAGTACATAGCACCTATTATTGTATAACTGTCAATTTTGCCTTATAATTACGTCAATATTTGCTTCATATGTTTTGAGAATCTGCTGTTTGGTACATATGTTTATAAATTTTTTACCTTTTTGATGACTTGATCCTTTTATCAATAAAAATGCCCTTTTTACATCAAAAAAAAAAATAGTACATAGAACTATTGTATAGTGGGCATTGTGTTTCTCCAAAAACAAACCTCTAATCTCCAAGGGTTCCCCTAACCAATTTCCTTTTGTGCAGGGGGTCGGGGGGTGGAGAGAAAAGCCACAGTTTTGGAATGGACTTTTCAATGTTGCCTTTCTGCTCCTCTTTTACTTCATCTGGGGCTTTGGGATCTGCAAGCCTCTCTGGAATTTTAAAGAGAAAGTCCCAATTCATTGACTACTTAGAGGCTCTTCGTCCATTCTCATTATCAATGAGAGTGTGGATTTATTTTCACTATCATTTAAATCAGATATCTGTGGGGGAAGAGAAGATGAACAGGGAAGGACAATTTTTCAAATGGAGTCAGAATTTGATATCATTTTAAAATGAAGATATTTCAGTATCTCCCACCCCATGAGCCGTAAGACTCTTAGGCTGCCAAGAAATACCAGGAAAGAGTCAGTGCATGCTGACCCCACCCTACAGCACAGGTCAACCTGTTTGTTTCTGGGAGTGGATCAGCCTCCCTGTCCTCACCCAGGAAAGACACTTGCCATTGGATTTGCTACTCTTACATTCCAGCTCAGATGCCTCTTTTCTGGTTTGCATTCTCTTGACTTGGGGGTTAGAATTTCTTTCCTATCCCATGGTCCTGGGCAGGCATCATTGCCCCCAAAGAATTGCTCATGGCTCTTACTGTGCCCTGGATAACAGGGAGAGTTGAAGAAAAGCCACACATCAGTTCTCAAGGAAACTGTGTGCTCATAAATTAATTTTTTCTGTAGATCGGAAAATGGAAGGGATTCAAAGCTGCTGGCTACTCCTTTTCGTCAAGGAAGCCTCAAGGACTGCTCTTATCAGCACATTCTGAGCTTTCTCCCAGAGGATCCCAGTGCTACTTGCAGGGATTGTTAAGATTTTCTGCCCTGTACTCTTTTGATTATTGTGGGAAACCCCAGCTCTTCCCACCTTCTTCAAGCCTCTTGAATGTCAGCTCAGCCTCCTGCTTCTTGCTGGAGTCCCCTTAGTTCATGCTTTCCATACATTTGTATTGAATACCCAACCTATGCCTGGCACACTGGTGAGGCCAGGAATCCAGGAGAGACTGAGAGGCACTGTTCTGGCCCCAGAGAGCTTCAAGGTAGTTCTGGAAAAGTGGAAGATGCATTAACCATATTTCCAGTAAACTAGATAGCAGTTGCGTTGCAATCTCTTGTTGCTTAATGAATACCTGGGGCAAATCCTCTTGTAATTTAAATAATTAGCTTTTGCTACAGATATGTGTCTGAGGAATTTGTCTCCTTTGGGTTCTTTTGGACTTTCCAGAAACATTTCCAGGCTTTATTAACCAGGGCTTGCCTGGAAGCCAGCTACTCTGAAGATCTGGCTGCTCCAAAGAGCTCTAGAGCAGGGAGGGGTACTGATGGTGCCTGTGGTTTGCAAAGGTGAGATCTGTGGCCTGTGACTGGGTTCTGTCTCTTTAAACTTGTAGGGACTTTATTCTGCAAAGATTATTGGCACCCACTATAGGACAGGCATTCCATTGGGTGTTATACTTCCAGGGATTTCATAGGCAGCCACTTCCCAAAGTTTGATTCAGGGAGCCCTAATTACACAGGGACGTACTAAGTGTAAATGTGGGGGAAGGAGTGATTCCCTGGTCAGATGCTGGTTTCTCTGTGTCAGATGAGGTCCTGCTGAGATTCATAGTGAATCCCCAAGAGGGGCTAGAGCACAATCTTCTCCAAACTTCCTTTTCCGTGAATTTGTTTGTGTGCTTGTTTTAATCACAGTGAATATAGCAGACCAGTGGTCTTTTGAGCAGGCTCCAGACCATTCCACCGGTGACACCCAGGACTGTTCTCTCCAAAAAGGGGTCTGTATTTCTACATGGGCTACTTAGGGCAACTACACGAATAGAGGGAGGGCAGCAAGGGGCTCTGGGGTCAAATCTCATCTGCACAGTATCACACCTATAGCTTAAGATAATAAATTGACCTAGAGCCTCCCTGGTGGTGCAAGTGGTTAAGTCTCAGCACTATGAAGCTATTGACAGCCACTGCACAAATTTGATCCCTGGTCAGGCAGCTGACCTACATGGAGCAGCAGAACTCTCCTGTCTCACCCGCTGCTCCCCTCAGTAGTGTATTTCTGTTGATCTGCCTGTTCTGCTCCCCACTCTGTCTCTGGTAAATCCTCTTGATAGACCCCCCCCGCCCCCGCCACACCACTGGCCTATACCCCAGCTCTTGTATGCATAAATAAAATAAATCTTAAAAAAATGATAATAAATTGATCTAAAGGTGCTTTCAGATGTTGAATTTCCAGGTCAATTGTATTCTTATAATTGCGTTTGTTCAGAGGGAGGAGTCTTAGGGGTGCATTAATCTTCATCTCATGGTACCAGCCCTGAAAACAGCTGAACTTTCCTCAGGAGGTCATGTCCCAGGGGGAACCCTAGAAAAATTCCCTTTCTGGGTCTTGCTTTCTTCTGATGAGGGTCTGGATGACAATGTATCCAGTCAATCACTACCTGGCAGCCTCCAAACTCTCTGGTGCCCCCTTGTGCCCCCACTTAGTGTCCTTTGTCTGTCTTATTTATTGGGTCTACAAAAGTTGCATTAGAACCAAGGGTTTTTGAGGCTAAAATGTTTGCAAGCCACAGGAAACCCAGCCCTCGGCTCTCTCGTGTCCTGTTCTATCTGTTCCAGTCAGAGATTGGGTGCCCTATACCTGCATAATCACTTGTGGGGGAGAGCAGGCGCCCCTGGCAAGTGTGCCCCAGAGCACTTTCTGAGGAACAAGACCTGTGGGGATGGCACTTGGCCAGTGGCCTGGGCTTTGTCCCTCACTTCTATTTCTGGGTATAAGTGACTAGTGACTGAGAGCTCTGTGAGGGGAGGGATGGAGGAGCTGACCAAATACCCGCTGGGGGCATCAGCAAATTGGGGAGACCCCCCAATTTTTTTTTCATTTGTAGGAACATCAAGATTTTCATCATGACAAAAAATCAGAATTTATTTTTGGTTTTTATGAATTTATTTAATTCACAATTTTTATTGTGAATTAAATGTGGATGGCCCTGGGAATCCATCTGCTCCTCAGTGTGTTGGGGGTCTGAAGGTCTTACGCTGTCCTGGGATCCCCAAGACCCCCTGGTAGAGTTTAGCTTTCAGAGATGTTACCTAAAGGGCCCGCTTTCTTCTAACCTTTAGTTTCAGCTACACAAACTCCCTTCTGCCCCGGGAAGATTCTTCAAATACTTGCCCATCAGCAGCCTCTCAGAGAGGAATGTTCAATGAGGCTGTGATGTCAAAGGGGCCCCAAAGACAAGGCCTGGGCCAAACCCAGCCTGTTACTCATGGCCCACAGCAGAGTGGGAGATAAGCAAAGCAAAGACTCAGAGAGAGCTTGGCCCTCTGGGCTCCCTGAACAACCCAGGCCATCGTGTGGATTGGCTCTGCGGGGAGAGACCGTTAACTACTAGGAACAATGAACTTGCAGACACCAGGGCCCCAGTGAAGGCCAGCGCCAGTGGCTCTTGCATGTCCACACCCTGATCAAGCTTCATCAGGATGTCAGAAGGCTCCAAGGAGAGTTTGGGCCACCGAGGCCTGCCAGTATTGGGCAAGGCCTGCTTAACCACTATGGACAAAAAGCTTAATGTGCTGAATGAGAAGGTTGACAAACTCTTGCATTTTCAAGAAGATGTGACCGAGAAGCTACAGAGCGTGTCCAGAGGTCTGGGCCACTTGGAGCAAGGCCTGCACCGCCTGGAGGCTTCCCGAGTGCTGGGCCCAGCTGGGGCCGACCCTGCTCCCCTAGCTGATGTGCAGGCTGGGTGGCCAGAGGTCCTAGAGCTGGTGAGAGCCGTGCGGCAGGACGCTGCCCAGCATGGCGCCCGGCTTGAAGCCCTCTTCAGGATGGTCGTGGCTGTGGACAAAGCCATTGCTTTGGTGGGGGCCGTGTTCCAGAACTCGAAGCTGGTGGATTTCATCTTGCAAGGCATTGTCCCTTGCAGGGGAGGAAGCCTGGTTGAAGGTGCTGCTGAGGTTGGTTACTGCTTCCCTGCCTGGGGCCTTCTGAGTGGAAGGGGGGCCCAGTGGCGCTGGTAGGGAGACTGGCCTGGTGGCAGAGTTAAGAGAGCAGGAAGACCATTGTCCCCTTCTTGTGCCGCTCTCATTATTTGTTGATTGGGAAAGGAGAGATGTTACCCAAAAGGCCATAGATGGATTCCAGACAGGACAACTGGCTATTCTCCCTAGGGAGGTAAAGAGGCAGTACCCTGGCAAGGACTGTGGGGCCTTGGGCAGCATTGGGGCACCTAGAAGTGGGGGATATAGGGGCCACTGAGGATAGGAGGATGGATCAGCTTCTTTCATATCTCAGTCACTTCTGTTTTCTAGTCCTTCACATCTGGCTGGGAGACAGATGGGGAACGTGAGTTTACCCTCACAGACCCCCAAACCCTCCTCCCCTTCCTGTTCCCAACCTTCTGTCCCAGAGTGGGCGGAGTGTGCAGCTGCCTGTGGAGAGCTGAGTGTTGACAGTGACCCAGGGGGGACTTAGGCCAGGCAGGAGCCGGAGCCTGGGGGTGGAGTGTGGTATTTCTGGAGCAATTGTTCCCAAGGATTGCATAATCAAACCCGCGCTAATGGAAGCTTGGCTGGCATGGGGGTGTTTGTGTGTGTGTGTGTGTTTGTGTGTGGGGGGGCAGGGTGGTGGTGGGGGCGTGTAGAGCAACACTCTGTTTGGGAACAGCTAAGGGTGAGCCACTTAGCAACACTCAGACAGCCTGGAGTCACCATTTCAGATCCCTGGAGTCACCACCAAGAGATAAGCTGGGCCTAATGGGGTCTGTGGTTGACTCTGTCAGCTACCAAGCTTTGAGCTTTCAGGAGTGAGCCTGCAGGGAGCTGCCTTCGTCCCCTCTACAACACTGGCCATGCTCACCCTGCCATCACCTGCCCTTTCCTGCCCTGCAGCTTCTCCAGAGCATGACCCCTGCCCCTAGACTCACTTTCTGTGTCTCCCCCGAGAGTGTGGCCTTCAGGGGAGATGTGACTTCTGCTCTTGCTGCTGGGAACCGACCTCAGCTTTCAAAAAGAAATTAATCTCATGCACATGGTAAAAAAATTCAAGTGGTAGAAAGATACTATGTCTCTCTCCTGCTCCATCCTCCGCTCCCCCCCCCCTCTTCAGTTCCTATAACCCTCCTACTCCAGTAATCATAGGTGCCAGTTTGCTGCGACACCTCCAGTTATAGTCTGTTTATCTTTAAGCTCATTAGCATACAAATCACCTTCTTTGTCTTCATATTTGTACCTTGAAAATTTCCTCAATTCTTGAAGTGGCAGAGTGCCCCATTTGGGAGGGGATGTGTCTTAATTTGTTAATCAGTCCCATATCACTGTTTATGTTGTTTCTCATTTTTAACTATTATAAATAACAATGCAGTGACTAATCACAGGCTTGTGAGTTTATCTGCAATATACTCCAAGATGTGGCCATGCCAAGCCTAGGGGAAACTTGTGTAGATAAAGCCAAACTGACCTTCAGAGAAGTTATTACAAATTAGTCTCCTGCCAACACCATATGGGAATACTTGTTGCCTCCACTTTTGCTAACAAAGAATTTATCCAACTTTGCACTCTTTTCCTGACTGATTGTTGAACACTGAGGTCTTATTGTAATGTATTTTAAAAAAACATTTTAGCATGAAGGATATTAAATACCTTTAACAATGAAGATCATTATAATGAACCTATGAGCCAATTCCTGAAGGTCAGTGTTGATTCCTCTGTTCCCACTCTCTTCTCCCCTCGTGGTTATTTTGAAGCAAATTTGACACCTTGCATCATTTCTTCCATAAACATTTCAGCCTTTATATCTAAAAGACAAGGGCTCGTTTAGAAAAGATAATCACAATAGCGTTATCATATCTTTTATTAATTTAATACTACCAAAGACATGGTTCAAATTTTCCTGATTGTCTTATACTTTTTTAAGTTTGTTTCAGTCGATAACCAAGACAATTGTTCACATGCCTCTTAAAGTTAACTCTCTTTTTCAGTTGATAAAAAATTTTAGACTTTTTATTATAGAGAATTTTAAATATAACCAGAATTAGATCAAATGTACTATCTCATTCTGGTTCAGTTTGTGCTTCTTTCTTTTTTTTTTTTTTAAGATTTATTTTTTTTTATGCATGCAAGAACTGGGGTGTAGGCCAGAGGTATGAGGGGAGGGATGAGAGGATTCACCAGAGAGGATTCACCAGATTCACCTTCAGGACAGGCTGGTGTACTGAAATACACTGCTGAGGGGAGCAGCGGGTGAGACGAGAGGTCTGCTGCGCCATGTGGGTAGCTCCCTGGCCGGGGATTGAACTCATGCTGCGGTGGGTGTGGATAGTTTCACAGTGCTAACCCCCTTGCACCACCAGGGAGGCCCAGTTTGGGTTTCTTTTACAAGAAGTTTGAGCATCTGTCATGGATTTAAAACCTCATGTACATTTTTGTGAAATGCCAATTCACGTCCTTTTGTCACTTTTTTATTTCGGTTTTTTGCTGTTTTGTAGGAGATCTTCATACATGCAGGAAAATAGCTATTATACACGTTGCAGCTATCCAGGCATTTCTGAAGGAGAAAGTCATAGAACTTTCTCTTTTCTGAGTCCTCTGTGCTTCTTGTCTCTGTGCTCCCCCGGCACACTATTGCTCTCCCCTCTGGTCTTAGTGCTAGAGGCGCACACCTGTCACTAACGGCGGGTCTGGGGCTGCTTGTCCAGGAGGCTGTCAGCTCCTTCTGGCTCAGCCGAGGCCTCTGCTCCTCTCTCTCTACCTGGGCCTGGGCTGGGCTCACAGGAGGTGCCCGAGGATGGGCAGGGAGCTGAGACACAGCCTAATTTGTCAGGCGACACTGCAGGAAATAGCATGTTATGGAGACTTTCTGGAGCCCCTCTTTGTGTTCCCTAAGAGTGTGGGGGATAGTAATCATCTGTGGAATTGAATTAAATCCTAGCACTGGCTGTTAAATTTGATCGTTTTGCCAGAACTTGGTGAAGGGCCTCCTCAGGCCGCTTGGGTGTCATATTGAATTAGATTATTTCGAGAAGCCAGGGGACGCTTGTGAAGGATGACTTCAGGCTCAGCGTTGGGGCGTTGACTCCTGGACCCAAGTCACGGACAGGCTGCTCAGAAGACATTAGTCCCTGGGATGGTGACTGGGGTCTCTCCCCTTTGCCTGGATGCACCAGACAAGGGAGGACCAGAAAGTTGAGGCCTGAAGACAAAGCCCCGCATTGTGTGTGTGTGTGTGTGTGTGTGTGTGTGTGTGTGAGAGAGAGAGAGAGAGAGAGAGAGAGAGAGAGAGAGAGAGAGCCAGCAGACGCCTGTGTGTGCACGTGTCTGCCTGCACCAAGGACAGAGGGAAGGAAAGGACAATTTGTGTCCAACAAGGTCTGCCAAAGGACAGTCTGTACCGGTAGGGTAAACTCGGAGGCAGCTGGTGATAATGCCTCCAGTTTCCCCAAATCTGGGGGTGGCAGCACAGAGTTTGTGAATGGGACCAAGGGAGAGGGCTCTGCGGAGCGGGGGTCGGGGCCATGCTGGTGGTGATCATGATGGCGGCAGCTAGTGTGAAGATAATGCCCAGCACTGGCCTGTGTGTTCCCATTAAGAGAGCAAGGCCGGTGGCCTAAAATCCCAAAGGGATGAGACAGTAATAGGGTTGCGAGAGCCTGAGAAATAACTGTGGAACCAACCCTCATCCTTTGTGTGTGGGAGATGTTTGAGGGAGATAAACCCCCTCCAGAGGTGACAAGCTGCTCCAGCCCATTTTTGCTCTGTGGGCCTAGACCTCACAGATCCTGCCAGTTTTTTCAAGAGAAGCTAAGAACCTAGAATTTTTTTCTAATTGGTTTTCCTGAGGTATAGTTTACACACAAATGGCACATACCCATGCACACACACACAATATGCACATTTTAAGTGTATAGTTCAACAGATGTATACAACCACCGCTGCAATCAAAATACAGAACAAGTCTATCCCCCAAAAGGGAACCTAGAAATTTTAATGCAAAAATCTCCCCAATTTAAAAGGTTGGTAACAAATCTAAAAAACTTAGATGCTGTACAAATCAGAAAAATTTGTCTCTAGCTGTTTTGGGGCCTCTGGGCTCCCAAATTAGGGTGCTCTGTGGTCAAAACAGGAAAGGAGTCTTCAGCAGGCAGTGATGTGAGCAGGAGTGTGAGCCCCTGTGACAGGTACCAGGAGCCCGGGATGGCACTAGTTGAAGGCTCCAAACCCCTAGAAACACTAGGTCACCTAGCAAGGGCCAGGCCTTCTAGAAATATTTGCACTTAGAAATACACAGAGCCCCAGGCTGCTTCAGAAACAAGAGCACTGCCTGGCAAGGACCATTTGCAGTCAAGGAAGAGCTGCCGAGAGATCCCCGGGGTGGGCTCCTGGGAGGCTGGTGGCTCTGTCTTGGGCAGGACTGGTCATCCAGCTACTGAGCTCTCCCCAGCGGCTGGCACAATTCTCAGGACAGTCCACAGATCAATGTCCCCAACACTCTCATCCACCCTATGAGGCAGATATTATTCTCCCCATTTTACAGATGAAGAAAGTAAGATGCAGAGGGGGCCTCCCTGGTGGCTCAGGGGTTAAAGTCTCACAGTTATAAAGCTATCGCCAGACACTGCAGCATGAGTTCGATCCCCAGCCAGGGAGCTGACCCACATGGCACAGCAGACCTCTCCTGTCTTCCTGCTGCTCCCCTCAGCAGTGTATTTCAGTGGCTTTGCCTGTCTTGCTCCCCACTCTGTCTCTGGTGAACCCTCTTACCCCTCACCTCTGGCCTGCACCTTAGTTCTTATATGCATAAATAAATAAAATAAACCTTAAAAAAAAAAAGAAAAGAAAGATGTAGAACAGTGGAGGATCTTGCTCAAAAGTGGTGACAATAGGGTTGAAACCCAGCAAGTCTTTCTCGAGAGTCAGGGGCAGTGTTCCTAGTTGTACTGTGGTACCAAGTGGGGTGACCGTGAGACCCAACACACCAGTGCCCTGACAGATGTGGACTCGATGGTGGCACTCTTCCCCAGAACCCAACCCTAACCAGCGACTCATCAATCTGAGTTTGCCGTGTTAAGACGGTATTTATTTTCCATCCCTGGTCTAAGTACATTGAGGGACAGTCTACTTCGTCCCCGCGGTCAGGGCCGGGTCTGCCCCTCGCCAGCAGTGGTGGCAACATATTGGAAAGGGCTTGGCAACCTTGGGAAAGCTTCCGTGTCCTTACCTCTAACATGGCAAGAGCAGTAGTTCCCGCTAATAGCACATGAGGCTCCGCTGGGTAACCAGCTTCCATCTCAAACCCAGGACGGCCCACAACAGACGTCTGCGGCCTGAATGGTGTGGTTGATCGGTTTCATGATTATTCTTTCAGCACAAAGAGCGCGTGGAAGAGAAAGAAGCAAAACCAAATCATGCAGCGAGCACCAGGGGTGTGCAAGCCGAGACCAGGGGGCCCTGGGAAGGTGAGGGGGACCCCATCTGCTTTACCCCACATCACACACGTGGCAGGTTCAAATATAAATAACCCCGATAACAACAACCAAAAGATTACTGGGAAACTGTGGGAATGTGTATTTTTGTTTGTTTCCCAGTTATTTTTGTGCTTTACGTATGTCCCGCTGGCCTGGGATAGAGAGTCGCTTGGCATATACATTATGTGTCCAACTGACGTGTATTTATTTTCCTTTGCTGTAAATTTTTATACATTGCTTTTTTTTTAAGTTTAATTTAAAAACTAATTTTGCATAATGGCCACATGGTTCCAAAGTCAAATGAATAAGATGAGGTATAGTTTCCCGGCATCCTGTTTTCCCCCCATATGCAAAAAGTTTGTACCTTATTTCTAGGCCATGTTATCAGTCGTTACACACACACACATGCACACACACACGCACACGCACACACACACGCACACCACATACATACTCCCTTCTTAGATAAACAGAAGCGTACCCTCCACCTAGCTTTTCACCCTTTACAAGATGGCCAGAAATCCCTCTGTATCCACAAACAGGTATTTGCTTCCTCCTTGTTATAACCATGTGGCACTCCTTGTACCAACCAAGCCCCTATTGATGGTTTGGACTGTTTCTAGTTAGGTGAACACACTGCACTGAGTGGGCCTCGGCATATTCTTCATGTTGGCTTCAGGACTGCGTCCTCCTAATGGGAGTGCATTTTCACCCTGCCTGTTTTCCTGCAGAGAGCCAGAAGCCTGACTTGCCAGAGAGGGCGGCAGAGAGGCTGTCCCCACTCAGCCCTTCAGGGATGGGATCTGACCTCTTCACCCAGGCAGAGGCCTTGCCAGAGCAGGGGGATGGCGTTCCTGGCCTGACCCAGCCCCCTGGCCACCTGCTGCTGCCCACAGAGGCGGAAGCTAATGGAGCATCCAGCAAGAAGCCCGAGACTAACCCGGAATTATCTGTGGCACCCGATCTGGTCAGTGAAGCCCCCGCTGACCAGGAGGCTGCACTGGTCACAGAAGAAGGAGCTTCATCCGACAGACCGGATCCCGATCCTCAACCCTTAGAGGAAGGCATGAGGCTGACTTCAGGACCGCCTGCCCAGGCCAAAGCAGCTCACAGTGGTGGAGAAACATGTCCAAGGTAAGGGATGCTCTTCCAAGCTGGGCGAGGGGAGGAATGAGCTACAGCTCCTCAGCTGGAGCAGGGCCAGGGACCACCTGCTTGGGTTGTGCCTCCACCATCTACACAGCGCTGGGTTGGCCTCCCCAGGGGAAGACAAGACAAGGCCGCTGCTTTCTGGAGCTTAGCGCGCAGTTCTCTGTGCCGACAAGAGGTTCTGGTTTATTCAGTCTGGAGTGAGGCTCAGGCATGTCTTTTATTGGCTCCCCAGGTGATTCCAATGCAGAGCAGCATTGAGGATCCCTGAGAATTAGCACAATAATAATAGCTCAAAATGACGGGTTCACTGTACATGTCCCCTGTACCAGGCATTGACCGAGGATTACAGGCATCCTATCGTTTCATTCTTACAACAACCCCAGAAGGTGAGTGTGGTTGGTGTCCCTGTTTTATGGATGCGGGAACAGGCTCAGAGTTCTCAGGTCACACAGCTAGGGATTCATAGAATCTGAATCTGATTCCAGAATCTGCCCCTAAACACTGTGCCATCCTGCTTCATCAGGCCTATGTTTAATTAAGCCCTAAATATGATAGTGGGGAGAGAGGGATGGGACACTCAGAGGTGGGAGGGCGGTGTAGGCTGTCAAGCCAGGGGACTTTCAGGAGATTTGCACTTGGGGTCCTGGACCTCAGGGGTGGGGCTGTGACCTCACCCTTAGGATGCAGCCTTGGGCCTGCCCTCAGCAGACTCTCTGCAGGAAAATAAGGATGCAGAAAACCAGCTGAGCACCAGCCTCCCTGTCCCAGTGCTCACCTGCCATGGGGGTGGGGGGGTGGCCGCACGCCCGGGCCCAGGGTGGCCACTGGAAGACACTGTGCTTCTGGGCTTCGCTCAAGGGAATTGGTGCCCTCCTGGGCTTGTCCTGAGCTGTGTGGTAGCTGCGCCACTGAGGCCTGGGTCAGGGAGGGGAACAGGTGTCTGTGCTGTGATGAGTGGTAGAGAACCCCAGATTATTTGCCTGCCTTTGTTTTAGAAGGAAATGGGAGCCTCCGGAGACCTAACCAGTTGGAGGGTAGGATTCCTGGCAGGCAGCCCTGGATCAAAGCCAGGACTCTAGATGTGGAATCTGGAGATGGGGATGAACTTTCCATGAACTTGTTAGGGGTCTAAAAGGATTCTGTGTGAGGTGTAAGGTCTCTATCCAGTTTCAGCCCTGAATTTCAGGTATGCCGAATCTGCTCTGGGGCTCAGGAAGTGGGGCTGTCACTACCTGTCCTTCCTCGGCTAGCTCAGGGTTATATTGAGGAAAATAGGTTTGACCCAGGCAGCTTTTGCCTGTGCAGGGGACCCTAAGGCCCCAGCTGGACTTGGTGGAACACTGTGCTGTCGCTGACTAGTCGTGTCAGCCCTGGGTGTGCTGCAGAAGGAGGGAAAGTCTTAAGACACACAAAATGGCCTGGAAACGCATGATGGTGACTTCGGGTCCACCCATTCCCCCCTAGGTGTGAACACGGGGGTGGGGACAGCTGAGACTCTTGACCTTCTCAGCTGGCACCTGCTACCTGGATTCTTTCCTACCTTGTTTACATGTCCTTGGTCAGAGACAAGGCCTGAGCTAGGCTTGGAGGCCCCCATACTCTCCCGCTCTGTCATCACCAACCCACACTCACTCCTGGGGGTTCAGTGTTGGGAGGATTCTACCCCTCCTGCCCAAGGCTGGTGTGCACAGGTCCGTCTTCCAGACTCACTCTGCTCGCAGATGATGTGTATGCTCAGAATGGGCCACCTGCTGCTGGGGTCAGGCTTCAATGTTTTTTATTGCAGTAAAAAGCACATACTGTCACTTTACCATTGTGGCCATTTTAAAGTGGACAGTTCTGTAGCATTAAGTATATTCACATTGTATGTTCACATGACACAGATCGCCAGCACTTTGTGATCTTGCTAATCTGAAGCAAGGGACCGACCCATCAGACAACTCCCACCCCCTCCCAGCCTACCCTACTTTCTGTTTCTGTAACCAATCCAGGTAACTCATTTTTGTGGAATCATATAGTATTTGCCTTTTTGTGTCTGGTTTATTTCACTTGCAATGATGGCCTCATCTGATTCTGATTTTGTCAGATTTTCTCTCCTTTTTAAGGATCAGTAATATTCCTTTGTGGGTGCACAGCACATTTTGTGTGTCTGTTCATCAGTCAATGATGAGGCTTCTGTGAATTATGCTGCTGTGAACGTGGGTGAACAAATATCTCTTCAATACTCTGCTGTTACTCGTTTGGATATATTCCCGGAATAGGCTGGATCATATGCTTGTTCTATTTCAGAGTTTTTCAGGAACCGTCATATTGTTTCCACAGTGATGGTACCATTTTAGGCCTCGCTTTCTGAGCCTGTGCACTCGTGCCTTCCTCTCAGGCGGTCCTCTCTGCCTGTCTGTTAGCTACCGCTCTCCCCATTTGATGGAGAAGGAAGCTGAGACTGGACTTGCCCAAAGTCATCCATCAACTTAGTGGCAGGACCTAGGCCAGAAATGAGGGTGCCCAGTACCCTCCTGAGACTCAGGCCACCCCAGACAGCCCTCCCGTACCCCTGCCCCAACACATGGGCCTGAGAGAGGGGTTGTCAGGAAGAGTCGGAGAGGGAGCAGCTGTGAGAAGGCAGCTCTGAACCCCTGGAGGCCCAGAACCTCTGACTGGGGCTTCAGATCCCAATGCCACAAGCTCTGGGTACAGAAAATGGATGAAGGGGGTAAGCCCACTGTATCGCTGGGGCACAGCATGGCCTGTGGGAAGTGGGGAGCTGCTGCTCAGCCATGCAAACATGTGGGCCCTGCGCAGCCAGGTCCATTTGTTGGAGCAAAACAGGAAATCCATGCTCATATGGGCAATTTTAATAAGTTATGTCTGAGTGGGGGCCTCCAGTGGGATGCTTGACTTGGCTCACACTCTCTCTTTTCTTTCCCTTCTCTCTTTTTCTGACTGAAAGGGAAACTGAGGCCTAGAGAAGGGTGGGGAGAGCCCACATCTCCTGCCACAATTCTCCTGGGGCCGAAGCAGGTTTCTTTTTTTTTTTTAAGATTTATTTATTTATGCATACAAGAACCGGGGTAGAGGCCAGAGGTGTGGGGGTGAGAGGATTCACCAGAGACAGAGTGGGGAACAGAACAGGTAGACTGACGAAATACACTGCTGAGGGGAGCAGCGGGTGAGACAGGAGAGGTCTGCTGTGCCTGTGGGTAGCTCCCTGGCCGGGGATGGAACTTGTGCTGCAGTGGCTGTAGATAGCTTCATAGGTTGTGTCTTAAACCCCTTGCGCCACAAGGGAGGCCCCCAGAAGCAGGTTTCTTAGGGTCCTCAGAGGCACTGGTCCCCAATCTGTCCACTAGAGGTTATTCAAGTCTTCTGTGGACACTCATCCAGTGGAATCCTGAGAGCTGATGGTACCATCAGAGGAACCAACCTCTCCCCTGCTGTGCTTCTGGGCAGAGGTGGGCAGGGATCCAGACGGGCAAGGGTTGGTGTCTACTGGCTCCAACCACACCTAACTCTTATTTTAAAACAACCCTAAAGGCCTATTTTGTGGATGAGGAAACTGAGGCCATGAGGCCACAGCACTGACTGACAACAGCAGGCATTTGAACCCAGGTCTGTTCTGACTCCAGAGCCCTTTTTTTAATTCTCAGGCCCATATTTCTCTCTGCCCAGCATCTCCATCCACGTGCAGGAGACGGATACCCCTGGCGAGCTGCTGGTGGCAGGAGGAGATAGCTTCAGACCCACACCCCCTGTGGAGTCTCCAGCAGCTGCCCATCCAGGTGGGCAGGACCCACCTGAACCCACATGCTGTTCTCAGGCCCCTGGAACTGCGTCGAGCAATCAGATCCCACAAGAAGCCAGTGAATTTCCTCTCCTGCAGAAGTGGAACAGCTATGAGGAAGCAAAGGCCGACGAGAAGCAGGTCCCTGGGGTCAAGCCTGCCACGGGACCAGGAGGGGCCAGGAGGGACAGAGGAGAAGACTCTGGGTCCCTGGGCCTGCAGCAGGAGGAAGGCCCAGGAGCAGGAAATCCTGAGCCCAGGAAGGGCTCCTCAGCAGGGAGCTCGGGAGGAGCAGAAGCAGGACAGACAGTGCCCCTGGGCGCCGAGGCTGGCAGCATGATTCTGGGTAAGTGGGGACAGTGCCCTGTGGCCCGAGGTGAATGGGTTTGGAGGGATTGCTCCAGAGGGGTTCTCTCTGTAGTTTTTAGGGGAGACAATGCAGGCTCAGGGGAGTCCAAGACTGGAACAATGTGATGGTACATCCATCCCAGGGCTGGAGACCCTGGCACCCGGGATGCAGAGGGCTGAGCTGGAGCTGAATGTAATGGGGAGGAGAGAGTGGCTCAGGTTTCTCGTGGCTAACTGCCTGCCTGAGTTCTCCACCTTTGGCATCATTCTGGGTTGAGACAGAGAAGATGCCTATTAAAAAGCAAGTCTATTAGTTGTTGTATATAATACTCTCAGCCACTGGCACCCAGTAAGCTCTCAATGGGGACAGGACGAGGCCAATGTGACCACTGACCTGCTTTCTATCCCAGGGATGGGGGCAGGGAGAAAGGAATCCTGTGTTCTTGTGACTCAAAGGCCCTCAACTCTTCTAGCATTTAGGGTTTTACCTTCCTTGGTCAGAGCCCTCGCCCCATGGGGCTGCAGGAAGGCCCCAGAACGTCTGGAGCCCCAGGAGCAGGGCCCTGTGGCTGCAGGTCCTCCCAGTGCCTCGCCACTCCGGAGCTTCCCAGCGGCCCCGCTGTTCTCCAGCGGCTTCCTCTCCCCTTGCGTGGCCTGTCCCAAATGTGGACACACCTCCCTTAATTCCTGAAGTGCAGCGCAGAGCAGTCTGAAGACTTGGGCTGGTGATACAGTCAGTGTTCCCCGAGGACTCACTGCATGACGCTGTTGACCTTCATTGACCCCTGGGTAGGGAAAGATGGAAACACACAAGAGGTTCAGAAACACACTGAAGGTCACGGAGCTGGTGCTGAAGGAGCCAGGACCTGACCTTGGCTGTCTAGCTGCAGAACTTCTTGTGTGGACCTTGGCTCTACTGCCGCCCAGAACAGAGGGCAGTGACGACAGAACGGACTCTCCACACGGGATCTTGCGCTGGGATCTGCGCTACATGCACCAGATTCTGGGTTCTCCCAACATGTCTAGGCAACCAGGAAAAGGAAAACACAAGAGAACCCCACAAGTCTTACTCCTTCCTTGTGTCTCAGGGTTTGCCTTTATAAACACACAAAAAGAATAAACCACACACTCTCTAGTCAAACTTGTACTGTGATTGTATTAAGACACACAAAGAAGCTAGTACTCCCAGGCTCCAGGCCTGGTTTTGGAGGCCTTGGAGTCGTCCATGGAACCCTCCGAGTGCTCCCAAGACCTGCTCCCAATAACTGTCAGCCTATGACCTCCTGCCGGGGTGTCTCCAGGTTGTTATGCATAACCTGGTGTATGTCATTGTGTTTGGTGTGTGTTCTGGACTCTGTTTGATTTCTTTACTCCATTTCATGTAATAGTTCTAGGTGTATCTTACTTCTGAAGGATAAGGTTTTTTTTTAAATATTTATTTACCCATACAAGAGCTGGGGTACAGGCCAGAGATGCAGAGGGGTGAGAGGATCCACCAGAGACAGAGTGGGGAACAGAACAGACAGACTGACTGAAATACACTGCTGAGGGGAGCAGCGGGTGAGCCAGGAGAGGTCTGCCTCACCACGTGGTCTCTCCCTGGCCTGCCGGGGATCGAACTCATGCCGCAGAGGCTGTGGATTGCTTCATAGTGAGGTGCCCAACTCCTTGCACCATCAGGGAGGCCCGGATAAGATTATTTAAAAAAAAAACTAAAATATTTTAATCTGTATACATGCTGCTGTCCTCCGGTTCCCTCCAGACCTACTGTCGCCGCCCCCACCCCCCCTGTCCCCAGCTAAACTTCTATGGGCTGCTTCTTCCATAGCCCTGTCTGTACCTTTAAACATAGTCCCATCATTAAACCCTGCTCCAGAGCCTCCCTGGTGGCACAGTGTTAAGACGCAGCACTATGAAGCTATCCCCAGCCACTGCAGCACACGTTCGATCCCTGGCCAGGGAGGTGACCCACATGGCAGAGCAGACCTCTCCTGTCTTGCCTGCTGTTCCCCTCAGCAGTGTATTTCAGTAGATCTGCCTGATCTTCTCCACTCTGTCTCTGGTGAATCCTCTCACCCCTACATCTCTGGCCTGCACCCCAGCTCTTGTATGCATAAATAAATAAATAAATCTTTTTTTTTTTAAAAAAAAAAAAACACCCCTGTTCCATACCTGGTTCAAGTGAGCCTCCTGATTCCTGTGGGCTGCTCTGCCACCTGGATCCTCTTCTCATCATCACTGAACAGACTGGACATAACTTCTCTGTGCTGCAAATAACAGTCACAGGTGCTGGAAGACCTAGGTTTGAAGCCCATCCATCCCTGACTGTGTGACCATGGGCCATTCACCTCATCTCTCTGAGCCTTAGCTTCCTCCTCTGACAAAAGGGTGACTTGAATGAGATGTTTGTCACCTGAACCAAGTGCAGTGCAGTGACTTGGACAGTGGTGAGAGGTGCTGGCCTTCTAGGAGCTCACAGGTTGTTGTCCTCTGAACAGATGACAGTCCAGCCCCACCAGCCCCTTTCGAGCACCGGATGGTGAATGTCAAGGAGACCTCAACCTCAGCGGGCTACATGGTGTGCCAGCACGAAGTCTTGGGAGGGTAGGTGGCCTTCTGCTTTGGTGAGGGGTGGGCAGGGGCCAGGCAGGGGCCTGGAGACTGAGCACTGCTGGAAGCTTCTCAGGAACTGATAGGGCCAAGGTCGGGAGTGGGATCCCATGCAGCGAGAGTGAGTAGAGAACCTGCAGGGTGGGGAAGACAGAATCCCCCAGAGTGTAGGAAAGCCAAGTGTGGATGAGGGAAGCTGTTGGCCCAGGAGATTCCACACAGTATGTACATGGGAACCATATCCTGGAAGTGGCAGGAGAGCTGGCATGGGGTTGAGGGGGGCAGCTGGAAGAATAGTCCCCCAGGATGCAGGACAGCCTGAGTGGTGTGGGGTGAAGTTCTTTAGGTTTCAGATAGCCGTGTGAAGTGGGGGTGATGCTAGGAATGCTGTGGGGTGTAGGGTAATCCCTGGGGGGGTGTGGAGGAGGGGAAGGCCAAGTAAGCACGGGGAACAGGCAGGCCCACCGAGTGTGGGATGAGCCTCTTGGGTTCTCAGCCTGAGGTGTCAACGTGTCTCTTCAGGGGCCGGTTTGGCCAGGTCCACAGGTGCACAGAGAAGTCCACTGGCCTCTCGCTGGCGGCCAAGATCATCAAAGTGAAGAGCGCCAAGGACCGGGTGAGGCTTCTGCCCTGGGCTGGCCACTCCCTCTGGCTAAGTTCAGGACTCCTCCATTCCCTTCACAGCCCCCTGGGCCGATGATGTCCCCAACCCCTCCAGGAGAGCAGGAAACCTGGCCACCAGCCCTTCCTCGTTCACCTGACGCCACACTCCAGCCTGCAGGTCACCTTGCAGCCAGGGCTCAGGGTCTGCTGAGCAAACTCATAGGTGTCCTGGGACCTCAGTTTCCTATGAGAGGGGTGGGTCAGACTAAGGGCCCTTCTGCTGTAAGACTGAGTTCGGGTGGTAAGTCCAAGAGACCTGTTGTGAGAGCAGGATGCTGGCCATGTGCATACATGTGTGCGTGCATATGGCATGTGTCCATGCACATGTGACATATGTGCTCATGCATGTGCACATGGGTGTAGGGGTGCGTGCATATCTTGGGAGGTGCAGCTAGCTCTCTTCCTGATCCATTTGTTGGAAACTCCTCTCCTCTCTGCACCACAGGAGGATGTGAAGAACGAGATCAACATCATGAACCAGCTCAGTCATGTGAACCTGATCCAGCTCTATGATGCCTTTGAGAGCAAGAACAGCTTCACCCTCGTGATGGAGTAGTGAGTGTCTCAGGAGGCGGGGCAGCATGTCCTCCAAGGACCAGGGCTTGGACCGTGGTTCTAGGCAATGCTCTCCCTTTACTTTCTTCTCTCTGGAATACCCTGGGCCTTGTCATCACCTCCTCTGCTTGGGTTCAGCTGCTTGACCTCCATTTTGTCACTAACCAGTGACCGGTGATGCCAATTTGACCTGCAGATGTATGTGTTTGGCCCACACGATTTTTAGTAATTTTGATTGAGTTGTTAACAATTAGAAATTGGGGCATTTTGCCTTAAAACCTAGATATTGGCTTGTTTTGAAAATATGAAAGACCTAGCAAAGCTGGACCTGCATTTCCAACTGGAGACAATATGCTGGAGCTCATAGTCACTGACTTTTGTAGACAGGACAAACTGTCTTCCATTTACCATAGTCCCCACCACTCCTAACTACCCCGACCCTGTCATCAAGGGCTCAGAGGCCATTTATTCTTGTGCTTGTTCTGCTGTTTTCCTTCTGGTAGGACTAAGGAGAGTGAAACATTTGTTATGTTGTCTCTTAGAAAAGTAGAAGATAGACTAGTGGCTCCTTATTCTAAGGAAACTTTTGTCTCACATCTGGTCTGATTTTCCTTTTTGGGGCTTTTGCTAATTGGCCCCTCTAGTCAAATAAGTTTACAATTTGGGCCTAGGGTACTCAGAGGGGACCTGGATTATCAACACTGTAGACAACCCCTGGTCTTCCTGACCACCTGCACTCTGAACTGGGAATGGGCCAGGGCAAAGCATCCCATAAAACCCCATGTGGCAATGGCGTCCTTGGGTCCTCCTAGATTGGCCTCCTTTGGCCTCTGGTGATAAGAGTAGACAAATCCTCCGAGAGTCTTTTTCATTCAAGGGTCTGTCTCCTCTCCCCTCAAACACCCCTCTTGCCCTGCAGTGTGGATGGGGGTGAGCTCTTCGACCGGATCACAAATGAGAAGTACCACCTGACTGAGCTAGACGTGGTCTTGTTCACCAAGCAGATCTGCGAGGGCGTGCATTACCTCCATCAGCACTACATCCTGCACCTGGACCTCAAGGTCAGCCTTCCCCCGGGCACATGGTGGGTGGACCTCCCAGGTTTCTGAACCTCTACTCCTCTCTCATTTTCAAGAGCCCTCTAGACAGATGCTCCTGGCTTCCATCCTGCCTCTCTGCCATTTTCTGGCTCTGGACTCTAGGGCAAGTCATCTGTCTTTCTGAGCCTCAGTTTTTCCATCTGTAAAATGTGAATAATGTACCTCTTTTTAAAAAATTATTTATTTTATTTATTTATGCATACAAGAGCTGGGGCCTAAGCTGGAGGTGTGGGTTGTGTGTGAGAGGATTCACCAGAGACAGAGTGGGGAGCAGAATAGGCAGATCGACTGAAATACACTGCTGAGGGGAGCAGCAGGCAAGACAGGAGAGATCTGCTGTGCCATGTGGGTCAGCTCCCTGGATGGGGCTGGAGCTCATGCTGCAGTGGCTGCTGGTAGCTTCAAAATGCTAGGACTTAACCCCTCGAGCCACCAGGGAGGCCCGATAATGTACCTCTTTAAGTGGTATTTGATACAATGACATTTTTCTTTAAAATTATCTTTTAGATTAATTTTTTAAAATTTAAGGTAGCAAAATTTAAATTTAAAAAAATTTAAAGTAGGAAAATATGTAAAAATAGATAATATAGACAAAGTGAATATGTACAAAATACACAGTGAAAGTTTTCCCTGCCTGGCAGCTTGGCTTGATATGTAAACACACACAATTGTACTAGGCATCCTGTTGTTTAACTTGCTTTTTCGGTTGATTACATATTGAGGACATCTCTTCTCATTCCCTTTAAGAGCCACGTGATAGTGTGTAGAGTGAATGTGTTGTGCTGTCTTTTGGCCGAGGATTGTGTATAAGCCATTTAAGGAATTTCAGGGGCTCCCCAGAGAAGATGAAAAGTTGGTTGCTAAAGAAAGTTTGTTCAATAAATGGTGCTGGGAAAACTGGGTCGCTACTTGCCAAAGAATGAAGCTTGACTACTACCTCACACCATACACAAAAACCAACTCAAAATGGATTAAAGAACTAGACATAAGACCTGAAACCATAAAATACATAGAAGGGAATATAGGTGAAACGCTACGTGATTTGCACATCAAAGACATCTTTACAGACACATCACCCAAAGCAGTGATAGTGAAGGCAAAGATAAACAGCTGGGACTACATCAAATTAAAGAGCTTCTGCACAGCAAAAGAGACAATAACAAAAACAAAGAGAAACCCCACCGACTGGGAGAACATTTTTGCACACAACACTAATGATAAAGGACTGATCACAAAAATCTGCAAAGAGCTGATGAGACTCAACAACAACAAAGAAAATAATCCAGTCAAAAAATGGGCAGAAGAGCTAAAAAGAAACTTCTCTGAAGAGGAAATGCAAATGGCCAACAGGCATATGAAAAAATGTTCAACATCACTTGTAATCAGGGAAATGCAAATCAAAACTACCATGAGATACCATCTTACACCAGTGAGAATGGCACATATTAAAAAAACTAGCAACAACAAATGTTGGTGAGGTTGTGGAGAAAAAGGAACTCTCCTGCACTGTTGGTGGGAGTGCAAACTGGTCCAACCACTGTGGAGAGCTGTGTGGAGATTTCTGGACCTACTAAACATAGAGCTTCCATATGATCCAGCAATTCCATTCCTAGGTATTTACCCAAAGGACACAGAAACATCAATTCCAAAGAGCACCTGCACCCCTATGTTCATAGCAGCACTATTTACAATAGCTAAGCTTTGGAAACAACCCAAATGCCCAAAAATAGATGACTGGATCAAGAAGATGTGGTACATATATACCATGGAATATTACTCAGCAATCAAAAAAGATAAACACATGCAATTTGCAGCAACATGGATGGAGCTGGAAGGGATCACGCTCAGCGAAATAAGCCAGAAAGAAAAAGAAAAATACCGGATGGCCTCACTCATAGCAGGAATCTAGAAAACTTAAATAAGGGACCAGGAAAAAGAATAACTATAAGAAAGAAAATATCAAAATCAACAAACAACTATGAACCAGAGACACTCTATGGAAGGTGGGGGGCGGGGAAAGGAGGGCTTGGGGTCAAAATAAGGGGGTTGTAATTATATGGGGAAATATAAAAATAAAATTTAAATAAAAGTAAAAACAAAAAAAGAAAAGTTGGTTGCTAGACCTGCGTGGGCGCACACGCTCCTTCTGGCCATCTTCCTGATTGACATCAGGCTTTTAGGCTGGGATTCTTAGAAAAATGGTGAAGGTGGTGGGGTATTGGCCTCAGATTTTTCTGTACTCATTAGAGGTAATTTCAGAGCTTCTGGAGCAGCTTCTCTGTGGTGAAGGAATTAAGGGAAGTTCAGGATTCCACTCTGTGGCTCTCGGCCCAGGAACAGTCTTGGGGGCAAACCCTATGACTCTGTAAGCAGGAGACTATCATTTCCCAAGCCACAAGCAAGGCTTGTGTTAATGCAGTCTCTTCCTGGCCATTAACTCTTGCATAAAGGCGTCAGTAGCAAAATGGGAAATATCTACCTCTTAGGGGTGTTGTGTGGCCTAAAGTGCTCCAGTACACTCTCCATTATAGTGGCCTCTAGCCACATGTGACGACTTGAAATGTGCCTAGTGTCACTAAGGAACTGAATTTTAAATTTCATATTAATTTTAATTAATATAAAATAAAAACTGACATTCTATTCAGTTGTAGAAAAACTTTTAAATATGAAATCACATTTCAACTATAAGTGTCATGTCATTGAAATACTAATACTTCATTAAATCTAAATTCTGGGCCTCCCTGGTGGTGCAAGGGGTTAAGCACCACACTATGAAGCAATTTGCAGACTCTGCAGCACAAGTTCAATCCCTGGCTGTCCAGGCAGCAACCCACATGGCACAGCAGACCTCTCCTGACTCGCCCGCTGCTTCCCTCAGCAGTGTACTTTGGTTAATCTGCCTGTTCTGTTACCCACTCTGTCTGCACCCCCTGCATCTCTGGGCTGTACCCCAGCTCTTGTATGCATGAATAAATAAATCTTTAAAAAATAAATAAATAGGGTCTCCCCGGTGGCGCAGCGGTTGAGTGCTGGGTTGCAAAGCTGCCCACAGCCTCTGCAGAGCCAGTACGATCACTACTCCCCTCAGCAGTGTACTTCGGTCCTTCTGCCTGTTCTGTTCCCCGCTCTGCCTCTGTTGAATTCTCTCACCCTCCTGTGCTTCTGACTGTACCCAGCGCTTATATAAATAAATAAAATAAATCTTTAAAAATAAATAAATAAATAGGGCCTCCCCGGTGGCGCAGTGGGTTGAGTGCAGTGCTGTGAAGCTGTCTGCAGCTCTGCGGTGCCGGTTTGATTCCCAGTGGGCCAAGGAGATTCCCACATGGTGTGATAGACCTCTCCTGTCTCGTCCGCTGTTCCCCTCATCAGTGTATTTCAGTCCTTCTGCCTGTTCTGCTCCCTGCTCTGTCTCTGGTGGATTCTCTCACCCTCCCGCCTCTGGCCTGTACCCGGTGCTTGTATAAATAAATAAATCTTTAAAAAAAAAATTCTTACTAACCATCTGATTGAAATTTTGACGAAAATTTAGTGAGTTGAAATGTGCTACAAACAAAATACACACTAGATTTCAAACAATAGGAAAATCTCATTAATATTTTACACTGAAAACCTATTAAACAATAATATTTTGAACATATTGATTAAATAAAATATATTATTAAGATAAAGATTCAGAAAATACTTTGAGATTAATGAAAATGAGAACATGACATACCAAAACTTAGGAGGTGCACCTAAAATCGGAAGGAAACTTGTAGTAGCAAACACCTATTACAAAGGAAGAAAGATCTCAAATCAATAAATTCCATCAGAAGAAAGAGCAAAAGCAGCGCAAGTTAAACGCAAAGCAAGAAGAAAGAAGAAAATAATAAAGATCAGTACAGAAACAAAGGAAACAAAATAGAAACAATAACAAAAATCAATGAAACCAAAAGTTGTTTTGTTCAAAATATGAATTGAGAAATCTTTTACTATACTGACAAAGAGAAAATGAGAGAAGACTCTAGTTACTAAAATCAGTATTGAAAGAAGAGGGACCTCCCCGGTGGCACAGCGGTTGAGCGCTGGGTTGCGAAGCTGCCCACAGCCTCTGCAGCGCCGGTTCGATCCCCGGCTGGGCCACTGGAGGAGGGTCCCACATGGCGCGCAGAACTCTCCTGCCGCCCGCTGCTCCCCTCAGCAGTGTCCTTCGGTCCTTCTGCCTGCTCTGCTCCCCACTCTGGCTCTGGTGAATTCTCTCACCCTCCCGCGCTTCTGACTGTACCCAGTGCTTGTATAAGCAAACAAATAAATAAATAAATGAATAAAATACATGCCTCTTTAAAAAAAAAAAAAGAAAGAAAGAAGGGCATGACTACTCCTAACAGAAATTTTAAAAGGTATTATAAGAACTAATACTATGAAAAACTATATGCCAACAAATTAGATACCTAGGTAAAATGAACAAATTCCCAGAAAAACATAAGTCACTGGAAAGTGACAAGAAGTAGAAAATCTAAGTAGACCTATAACCAGAGATCAGATTAATATAACGAATTACCCATAAGAAAAGCCTAGGCTCATTTGTCTTCACTGGTGAATTCTTTTTTTTTTTTTTTAAAGATTTATTTATTTATGCATACAAGAACTGGGGTATAGGCCAGAGGTGTGGGGGATGAGAGGATTCACCAGAGACAGAGTGGGGAACAGAACAGGCAGACTGACTGAAGTACACTGCTGAGGGGAACAGTGGGTGAGTCAGGAGAGGTCTGCTGCGCCATATGGGTAGCTCCCTCACCAGGGATGGAACTCGTGCTGCAGAGGCTGTGGATGGCTTCATAGGTTGCGTCTTAACCTCTTGCGCCACCAGGGAGGCCCACTGGTGAATTCTATCAAACGTTTAGAGGATAAACACCAATCCTGTACAAAAATTTCAAATGTAAGAGAATGGAACACTTCTTAATTCATTTTATGAGGCCAGTCTTATCTTGATACCAAAACTGGACAAAGACATCATAAGAAAACTAGACCCACGTCAATTATGAAGGTAGGTACAAAAATTTTTGATAAAATATCCACAATTTGAATGAAACAACACATATAAAAGAGTATATACACAAAAAGTGGGATTAGTCTCAAGAGTACATAATGGTTTAACATACTAAGTGTCCAGACCAGGAAATTCCACAGACAGAAAATACATTGTGATTGCCAGGAATCAGAAGTAAGGGGAGAATGGAGAGTAACTGCTGATGGCCATGTATTTTTTTTCTTTTAAGTGATGAAAATGTTCTAAAATTAGATAGTAGTGATCATGGCACAAGTGTGTAAATGTACTGAAAGTCACAAAATTATACACTTGAAAATGGTGCATTTTACATATGGTGCATTTATGATATTACTTAATTTATTACTTGTATTTTAATAATGCTGTTACAAAAATTAATTTCCCTTGTTTCTTTGTATTTTTTAATGTAGAACTAGAAAAGTTTAAATTATGTATCAGACTCACATATTTCTATGGGATAATGTTGTTCTAGACTTTATTTTTAAAAAAGTGGTGATTTAAAATCATCCTCTCCTATTCCTAACTTAAGAACTGCATGGTGCTACTGCAACATAAATCACAGTGAAAGCTTCTGTTGGGAGAAGTCGAACCTAGCACTTGCTCTGGAAGCTGCAAAGTGTTTAATGCATACCACGTCATCTGATCCTTGCAAAGGATCAGATCCTTTGCAAACGTGACCGTTTTACAGAAGGAGACACTGAGGTTTCAGGAATGGAGAGGGTTACAATCCCAGATAATGTAGAAAACAGATCCCTGGATCTTAAGCGCTGAACTGAGGTCTACAGGTCCTTTCTACATAAGCCCTCCATCTCCCCTTATTCCCACCATCAATCCAAATTTGTCTGGCACAAGAAGTAAGCATTGTTCCAGGCTCTTACAGAGTCTCAGAGCTGATCTGAAAGTGTGTAAAGGCTACCACCTCTATCCCATGGGTCAAAGCTATCACCACAAAATGGCAGCTCTGACATTAGCAGCTCTGATTTCCTTGACCAGATGACTGAAGCTTTGGTCCCACTCCTGAGATTCTGACATCACTGGTCAGGGTTGAGGCCTGATTGGGACTTTTGAGAGCTCTTCTGGTAATTCTAATATACAATCAGGTTTGGAATCACTACTCCAAGCCAACAGTCTCAAACAAGCAGTTGTGGACCAAATCTGCATCACAGCGGTGTTCCATTGGACTCCCATATATAATAAATGCATGCTTAAATTTGATTTAGTTGTCAATATTTAACAGCATGGAATTTTCACATAAAAACATGGATTTCTGGCTTCTCTTGAGGATGAAGGAACCCTAGCCATGGGCCCTGCATTCCTGCACTGTGACAAGGGGTTGGAGCTGAGCAGTCACTACGGGGCAGGAATACTCCAGTTTCCCACAGTCCACCTACTCCTTACTCTATCATTCAACCCACTTTATTTTCATTATCTGTCTTCCCTGAGCCATTCATTTCCCTTGGAGTCTGGTGAACTGAGACCTATTGACAAATAAATGTGCAAACCTTCTTTCTTAGCTATTGAATGAGTTAAGCAGACTTCTCTTTCTTTCCCAGCCAGAGAACATACTATGTGTCAATCAGACAGGACATCAGATTAAGATCATTGACTTCGGATTGGCTAAAAGGTAAGGGGGTTGTATTTTGGCACTTTGACAAAACTCCTGGGGGACTCTGTGTGGCTATCTTGGCTCTGGTTATCCACAGCTCAGTTTTTAAAAAAATATATAATCAGTTCACATTTATTTATTTTTAATAATAATTACAATTTTAATCATGAAATTAACATACACTGAGCTCAGCCAATTTTCAAGCGTTGGGGCTGAGAAATCTCTCGCTGAGAGGCTGGCTGCCTTTCACTCTGTAGACAGGCCTGTAGCTACTGCAGGGGCTGCTCTGTGCTACGGGTGCTGCTGCAGCTTTACTGACAACAGACCGTTCCTCAAACCATTTGTCAGAGCAGAGATGGAAGCGATGTTAAAAGGGGGTGCTGGGTAGTTGACTCTATTCATTTCTCATCACTCACCATGCCTACCCTTCAGGAAATGACTAGGTTACATGGGAAAATGTGTGTGTGTGTGACCGTGTAGGGTAACACCACTCAGGGCTGGGTTAGTTCTTGGTACAATGGTGAAAAAATGGGGCAAATGTGGATATGGAACGATGAATTATGAAGGTTAACTGCGATAACACAGCGGCAGTACAGAGCCATCCTATGACTCGAGTATCAAGTTTCACTGCATGAAGTGAGCATTGTAGATAATAGTTAAAATATCTTTAAGTCCCTTAAGTGAAGTATAGATTGTTTTCCTGTCCTGACCTATGGCCATGTGTGTGATGATGACCTCCTGGTTCCACTATGTGCTGAGATTGGAATCCAAGCCTCATTCATCAGTCCCTTTGGCAGTGCGAGGAGGTGCCTACCCCAGGCCTATGTGGTTACAACCTCAAATATGACCTCTGGTCACCAAAGCCTATCCTTAGAGTCTGGAGAGGGGATCTTGGTGGATATTTTGACAAAACATGAGGTGGATGCCTTCTTGCTTAGCTATTGCCATAAGACTGCTATAAAGGCCTCCCCAGTGGTGCAGCGGGTTGAGTGCAGCACTGTGAGGCTGTACACCTCTGCAGCACATGGGTTCGATTCCTGGCCAGCCAGTGAGATTCCCACATGGCATGGCAGACCTCTCCTGTCACGCCCTCTGCTCCCCTCAGCAGTATATTTCGGTTGTCTGCCTGATCTGCTCCCCACTCTGTCTCTGGTGAATCCTCTTACCCTCCTGTGCCTCTGACCTGTACCTCAGCTCTTGTATAAAAATAAATAAATCTTTAAAAAAAAAAAAGATTGCTATATAACAAACCACCCCAAAAAGCAGTGCTTGAAATAACAATCATTTATTCTCATCCACACATTAGTGAGTCAGCTGAGGGAGTAGTATGCTGAACCCAACTCATACTAGCTCATGATCAGGAGTTACGTAAGCCTGTTGTTAAACATGGTCATTATTTACAATGAAATGGTATAAACTTACAGTGAAACAAATTATTATAAAAACAAGGATTAAAATTTCAAAATGTTTCACTTTCTATTTTACTACAGTCATCCATGCTTAATGATGGGTATGTGTTCTGAGAAATGTGACATGCTGACAGCATAAATTGTAAATACACAGACCTCGATAGGTTCTATGGGGGGATCTGTTGGAAGCACTGTTGCATATGTGATCCGTCATCGAACGAAATGTTGTTAAGCAATGCTTGTCTGTGTTGTTTAATGCTCACAGGGTTACTTATGTCTGTTGTACCTTATAGTGCAAAGGCCATAGAATGGTGGCTATTGTGCTTTCTTATAAGCTACATTCAATGAGCCATGGTGAAATCAGTATTTACACCACAGAAATTGGCAACTGCTGCAAATCAGGACTTTAAAAAAACAATCAGATCATTGGACATTAAACATTTACTCACACACCACTGCTTGGGAGTCAACAATTTAGACTGAACTGAACTTGGATGCAAGCAACTTGCTCCTCTGTGTCTCGTGGTGACAGGAGAGGAGCCACCCCTCACCAGAGTGGTACCTCGTTACCGCAGATGAACCTACACTGATACATCATAGTCACACAAAGTCCATAACTTAGCTTAGGATTCCCTCTTGGTGTTGGATTCTAAAGGTTTAGACAAATGTCTAATGGCATGTAGCCATCATTATAGCATCATAGAGACTTTTTATTGCCCTAAAAATTGTCCGTGCTCCACCCATTCACCTCTCCCTCCCACTAATCCCTGAAAATTATGGTCTTTTCACTGTCCCATGGTTTTACCTTTTCCAGAATATCATATAATTGGAATCATGTTATGTAGTCTTTTCAGATTGAATTATTCACTTAGTAATGTGTATTGAAGGCTCCTGCATGGCTTTTCACGACTCAATAGTTCTTTTGAGCACTGAATACTATTCCATTGTCTGGATGTACCTCAGTTTGTTTATTCACTTGCTTACCAAAGGATATCTTGGTTGCTACCTATTAAATTCTAGCTAGACATTTTCTTCTTCAACAGTGATTCTAGGGCCTCCCCGGTGGCGCAGTGGTTGAGCGCTGGGTTGCGAAGCTGCCCGCAGCCTCTGCAGCGCCGGTTCGATCTCCGGCCACCGGGCGAGGGTCCCACATGGCGCGCAGACCTCTCCTGCCGCCCACTGCTCCCCTCAGCAGTGTACTTCATCAGTCTACCTGTTCTGCTCCCCGCTCTGGCTGTGGTGAATTCTCTTACCCTCCCGTGCTTCTAACAGTATCCAGTGCTTGTACAAATAAATAAATCTTTTTTTAAAAAGTGATTCTAAAAACCATCTTTCACATCAACGTTCTAAAGTTTCTAAATCCTAAAACAATGCCCGTTTTTTCGTTTTTTTGTAATTGTGCTAAAATACGCATAGAATAAAATTTGACCATCTTTTAAGAATTTTAAGATTAGCTTAATAGTGTTAAACGTACTTACATTGTTGTGCAAACAGTCTCCAGAGTTTTTTCCACCTTGCAAAACCAACTCTGTCTCTATGAATTTAACCACTCTAGGTATCTCATACTGTACTTTTTTTTCTGTGATTGACTTGTTTCATTTAGCATTAGGTCCTTGAGGTTCATCAAAGACACTAGAATTTTTTTCCTCTTGAATTCTGGTAGTATTCTATTGTATGGATGTACCACATTTTGTTTATCTACTCATTCACCTTTTGGTGACTGTGACTTTACATGGATAAATAAATATTTCTTTGAGACCCTGCTTTTAATCCTTTTGGATATATACCCAGAAGTGGAATTGGTGGATCATATAGGAATTCTACTTTTAATTTTGGGGGGAACTGCCATAATGTTTCCCGTGCAAGCTGTACTGTTTTACATTCCTATCTCTAATAGTTCCCAGCCTCTCAATATTCTAACCAAAACTTGCTATTTTGAGGTGTTTTTGATAGTGGGTCTCATTGTGGGTTTGATGTGCATTTCCCTTATTAGTCAGGTTGAACATTTTTCCTCTTTTGGTTCTTACTGTTGTTCTTCTAACCACATTTCACCCACTAACAGAGGAATCCTTCAAATACAGCTTCCACCCAACCTGTGCTCATTCATGTGGCTGCATGCCGAATAAGATAGTGACAGTGATCTTCTCAAGTACCTGGAGAACTGTGGTTTTCTGCTTCTCCCCCGTGACTAAGGAAAGCCTGACTTTAGGGCCTGGTGTGAGACAGTTCCCCAGAAAACTATATGTGTGGTGGGCTGTAAAGAGCAGACAACACAGCTGACATGGGGGACCAGGAAATGCCTGGCTTCCTCCAGGAATTAGTCCCCACATCGAAATCTTCTCCCAGGCCACACTCCCATGGTGCTCTGCACCCCTCTTCTGCAGGTACAAGCCTCGGGAGAAGCTAAAGGTGAACTTCGGCACCCCTGAGTTCCTCGCTCCGGAAGTTGTCAACTACGAGTTTGTCTCTTTCCCCACAGACATGTGGAGTGTGGGAGTCATCACCTACATGCTGTGAGTGGGGTGCGGTGGAGTGGGAGGAGGGTGGGGAGCCTTTTTCCTTTGCTTATTTTCAGCACAAAGCAGTGTGAGTAGTTTATTTGGAAGGTGTTCCCAGGAAATAAGAACAAGGGAATGGGAAAGGAAGAAGGAGAGGAAGGCAGCCAGTGTTCTCCAGCCAGTAAGCCTTGTGGGTATCTGGAGTGTCATCCTGTGGGGGGACTCTGGGATCCATTTCGGAACACCCTTGCAGAGTTATTCCCCACCCTGAGGGTGGGGAAGTTAGGGTGTTTATGCACCAACTCTTACCAGTTGTTCCTTGTGAGCTGATCCTGGGGGGGCATTACATTACTTCCTTGAAAGTTTGTGGTGAATAAAAGCTTTAAGTGGAGAGAAAACCCTGCAGCAAGGCAGTGCAGGTGCTGCGGGTTCACATGGGGCTGGAAGACTCTGAGTGGTCAGAAGGGATGGGCAGGGCAGACGCTCTCTCACCTTGTCCTCCTGCCCTGCACTCTCTGTTCCCGCTGAGGACGGGCTGAGAGGGGATTTGTGCACAGACTAAACATTCTCCACTCTCTGTGGACTTTCCTAGTTGTTTCTTGAGGCCCAACAAGGTCATGCTTTGCTCCCAATCATCTCGTCATGCACAACTGCCTCCTTCGCCCACAGCTTTGAATGTGTGTCTTGCTCTATTGGGAGAAGTTTGAGGCCCAAGGCCAGCCATTTAGGGTGTCGTCTCTTTACTCTCCCTGGAAGAGCTATACTCAGCTTTTCTTTGGCCCCTGAAGTCTGGGTACCATTTAAACAAGCCTACATATCTCAGAGACATGCTAGGCTATTTTTTTTTTTAATTCACCCTGATCGATCAGGGCATAGTTTCTAATTAGTCAGTTAATTAATTTTTACCTTTTTATTTTAATTTTTTTTAAAGGTTAACAAAAGGTTTATTTACAAGGGAAGGGAAATGAGGAAATGTACAACTCAGGGAGAAAAGAGGGAGATAAATTCTTAAATGTGTCCTACCTGTTCTGCCGACCTGGAATCCCAAATGACCCACCGAGATCAAACCTGCCTGACCAAGAGCAGGAGCCAAGGGCCCCAGACCCCACTCACTTGACTGGTTTTTATTTACAAACAGAGAAAATGGCTGCTTAACTCTGCCTTTAGGCCCTCCCCACTTCCCTTTTGCTAGGCTATTTTTAAATAAGCCAATATATACCTGGGAAATGCCAGATTTGCTCCTTACTTCAGGGTGAGGGAAAAGAGGTGAGCACAATAGGGACTTTATTTGACATACCTTGCTTCCCATTTTCCAATTCTTAACTTCTTTCCCTAACTGAACACTCTCGCCCCTCTCCTGTGATGGGGATGCTTTTCTTTTGAGCCTTTCCAGTTCTGCTTGAACCTCATAAGATTCTCCTCTGTCCTGCAGCTGTGCAGTGGCAAGTGTGGCTTCCACATACTGACGGTCCTTTCTCTCCTTTGTAGACTCAGTGGTTTGTCCCCATTTCTAGGGGAAACAGACGCAGAGACCATGAATTTCATTGTGAACTGTAGCTGGGATTTTGATGCTGACACCTTTGAAGGGCTCTCAGAGGAGGCCAAGGACTTTGTCTCCCGGTTGCTGGTTAAAGAGAAAAGGTACCCTTCACTGCCATCCTGACGGTGACAGCTGGTCTGGGTGCTGTGAAGCTCAGGCTAATGCTGGTTCCCTACTGACCCATTCTGCACAGGCTGTCTCAGTCTGCTACTTCTTTAGAGCAAAAAAGGTAGCCTGGAAAGGAAAGAAGGAAATCAATTAAAAATAAACAACTAGGAGGGCCTCCCTGGTGGCACAGGGGTTAAAGTCTCAGTGCTATCAAGCTATTGCCAGCCAGTGTAGCATGAGTTCGATCCCCCCCACCACCCCTACATCAGCCCCAGCCTGGGAGCTTACCCACATGGCGCAGCAGACCTCCCCTGACTCGCCCACTGCTCCCCTTAGCAGTGTATTTCAGTAAATCTGCCTGTTCTGCTCCCCACTCTGCCTCTGGTGAATCCTCTCACTCTCCTCCTCGCCGCCCCTACCTCTGGCCTGTACCCCAGTTCTTTTATGCATAAATAAAAAATAGATGTTAAAAAAAGTAAACAACTAGGAGCATAAAATCTAGATAGAGGTTTAGAAAGAAACATTTACAAATTTGTTTTATTTCTAATTTGTTCCTATTAATAAGCTGATATGGGGGGAGGGAGGATGAGTTAAGGAGATGTTATTCCCCAGACTAAAGGCCAAAAAACCCATTTCTTGATAATGAAGGTCATCAGCAGTGACATCAAAGTCCCGGATGGAGCCACTGGTTTTTCTGAAAGGCAGACAAATAGGAACGACTGCCAATGACCCAGGAGTGAGCCCAAAGCCTGCGCTCTAATACTTCTTGGCTCCCTGGTCTCTACTGTTTTGTTTCTCTCTTATTGTGAAAAGGTTGGTGAGAGGAAAAATATTTAAAATAGAGGAACAAGTTGACATTATTCTCTGGAGGGGGAAATGAACTCCTCTCTAGCCTCATGTTCTTTTACTCCTTAAAAGCAATTCCAGGCACAGCTGGCCTTTCTAAACTCTGCCTTTCTGGGAGGTGATGATTAATGACTGGAGTATGTTCCCTCTCTAGAGGACAGGCAACATTTTGCTCATGACTTTTTTGCACTTTAAGGAGGAAAATTTTAGAACCAGGAGTTCTCTTTTTAGAACGCAGCATGAATCTGCCTAAGTGATTAATCTGTTTCATTGACTCAGGCTTCCTACCCAATTGGAACAAATTTTTGGAGACCAGAAAAGACACCCCAACTAAAAGTCCCAACTCCTTTGATTTCACAGCTGCAGAATGAGTGCCACACAGTGCCTGAAACATGAGTGGCTGAATAATTTGCCTGCCAAAGCTTCAAAATCTAAAGTGCGCCTCAAATCCCAGTTATTGCTGCAGAAATACATGGCTCAGAGGAAATGGAAGGTATTTGCTTTTTTCTTTTAGCAAAGGCAACACTTGTCTTTTTAATATGTCCTTTGAAAGAATTATAGCTAAGTTTTCATTTACATTTTGATTTTATGTAGGAAGATTATTTAGGGGAAAAAAAGGGGTAGTCTTCCTGGTGGCCTAGGGGTTAAGTCTCAGTACTTCAATCCCTGGCCAGGGAGTTAAGCTACTTATGGCACAGCAGAACTTACCTGTCTTGCCTGCTGCTCCCCTTAGCAGTGTATTACAGTAAATCGTTCTGCTGCCCACTCGGTCTCTGGTGAATTCTCTCCCCTACCCCCTGAACCTCTAGCCTACACCCCAGTTCTTCTATGCAAAAACAAACAAACAAACAAACAAACAAACAAACAAAACAAACTGTTTTTGTCAAAGCATGTTAGCTTGCTTAAAAAATGGCACAGACCAAGAATGACTGGCATAAAAGTAGTCTTTCCTTCACACTTAGGTGGACATTTACAGTGACAGAATGAACTCTGAGCGTCCTCACTGATGATCATGAAGCCTCAGGACTGTAGCTTGAGATCTGATGCCTCCACATTTCAGAGATGTACTAGGGCTCCTAGTGGCTCCTAGTAGAGCTGGGAAAGCCCTACTAGGCTTTAAAATTTTGTTTACACTGTTGGTACCAGGGACTTACAAATCTGTCTTAAACACAATTGTCCTCCAGGGAAATGGCTTTCCAGCATTTTCATATTGACGCCAATCCTCACTCAGAAACAAAACCACAGTGCCTTAGCTGGAGAGCTGGTACCCAAGTGTGAAAAAAGGTTCATAGCTTCTTAACAGGATGTGTCTATTCTATGACAGTTGGTTGTCTTTTTTTGAAAAATGCTGGTCATAACCACCAGTTTCTTTTTGTGACCCATTGGTGGCTCGTGGATCATAATATGCAAGCCACTCCTCCAGCGGCTCCATCCTCATGTGAAAAGGGCAGGACGTGGTAGCTTCTTACTTCACTATTGCTCCAAACACGCCTGGAAGTCCCGGGACAGTTCTGCTCCAACTTTGCTAGAATCTTGTTTTCCCCTTTAGATGATCAATTTTAAACAAACTTAAGTAGCTAAATTTGTTTAAATCCTTTTATCCTTTCTTCTTAAAACAACTGGCTTATAAATATACTTCTTTTCCCTCCTTACCTCAAGAAACATTTCTACGTGGTGACTGCTGCCAACAGATTAAAGAAATTTCCAACGTGTCCCTAATCTTCAACTCTGCTGCTTCCATAGACCCGGAAAATACTGAGACCAGTGGTGAAGTGATGACTCAAAATTCTAAATAATCTAGCCCTTTACTAATATTGATTCTATTTTGTAAAAAGGTTATGATCCTTACCTTCCTTGAGGATGAAAAGTGGCTTTAAAGAAAGTGACCCAGGAACTTTTGTTCCACTATATACGATTACTAAATTTGAAATGTTCTGTTTACTTTTCAAATATTTCTACTTTTGGTGACAAGTGAAGGCATGATTTAGGTAGATAGGAAAGCTTCTACTTTGCATATGTCAAATTTAAATTCTGAACTTCTCTGACAAGGGTGCATATTATTCAGTGTTATCCTCCAGAGAATTCCTAGAATTTTGGTTTGTTCTAGTGTGAGCCAACATTTTCATGTCCTACCTTGCTCCAGTTTGAAGTGCCATGGATTTAGGGACATGTTCTTAAACTTATTTTAATTTGTGCTCCTTTTTGAGAATCAAAGCACAGATCCTTAATATTTTTCGAGATTTCAAAATATACCAACTATTTTAGCCAAATCAGAATAATTCTTTTGAATATGCTTTTAAAATCTATACAGGGCCTCCCCGGTGGCGCAGCGGTTGAGCACTGGGTTGCGAAGCTGCCCGCGGCCTCTGCGGCGCCGGTTCAATCCCCGGCTGCTCCCCGGCCACCAGAGGAGGGTCCCGCATGGCGCGCAGACCTCTCCTGCCGCCCGCTGCTCCCCTCAGCAGTGTACTTCGGTCCTTCTGCCTGCTCTGCTCCCCGCTCTGGCTCTGGTGAATTCTCTCACCCTCCCGCGCTTCTGACTGTACCCAGTGCATGTATAAACAAAAAAAACAAACAAACAAATAAATACATAAATAAAACATGACTCTATATAAAAAAAAAAAAATAAATAAAATCTATACACTCTCTGCCCCCTCCTGACATTGGTGTCTTCCTCCTGCCCTCCCTTCCTTGGATGTCAGTCTATGGTCTAGGAAGTCTGGCAAGTAGCAGTATGTGAAAGAGGGATAAAAATGTGCCAATGTTCAGCTTTCTGAGAGAAGCACAGAAAGGATACACAAGGAGAGAGTAAAGGAAAATGCGTCCTACTGCTTTACTAGGATATACCACTTTCAATGTTATCAATTAATCAATTTATAAAATGGCGAAGGAGGAGTACTTTATTATTCCAAAGTGAACAATTCTTTTCATTCCTTTTCTTCTAACCCATTTTTTTGAGCTACTCCCCTGACCTTCTTAGGTCAGTAGTTTTAGTTGGAGTAATTACTTTCAGTCTTGAATTAGCCTTGCAACATTTTCACAGCCTTTCAGGATATTTGTCCCAGAATATAGACTTTTTTTTTTTTTTGGAGCAGAGGACATGGGTATGGGAAGTGAGGCAGAAGGCGGAACGGTGAGGTTAGGCTTGCTGCTGCATTTCTCAAGTTGTAACTTTTTTTCTGGAAAACTAACCCTTGTTGGGAAGGTCAGATTTTCAGTGCCAGAACACCCAGGTCTGCTCCCAAAGCTGGCCAGCTAATGAATCAGCGCCGGAAGAGATGGCTGCTGGAAACCTCACTTGCATAACAGAATATCAGTGATTTGGTAAAAATGCCATAAATTTCAACATCAGTTACCTCTCTGAGAAAGGTTTTTTGAGAGCAGCCTCAAGAAGGAGCTGGAAAGGACATCTTATAATTCTATCTAGTATGGTGATTCTTAACCTTGGAACTTCAGTTTTTTGGGCATAGGCATGAAACTTCTCCCCAGATAAATGTAGTTTGTTAGCCTGATCTACAGAGGCACTAATAGAAATATAATGAGCCATTAAATATTAAAATTTCTAATACCGCCTCTAAAAAAAAACCTGGTGATAGTAATTTGATAATTTATTTAACACAATTTATCAAAAACATTATTTCAGTATGTAGTCAATATAAAAATTATTAAGGTGTTTTAGATTTCTTTTTCATACTAAGTCTTCAAAATCTGGCATGCAGTTTATACTAAAAATATTTGTCAATTCAGACACTAGGTTTTTGTCATACATACTTAATCTTATTTAGATATCATTAAATTTACTGCAGAAAAACTGGAGTTATTTGAAACATTTAAAATGTTTTCTAATAATTGAATTAAGTATCCACTTTTACATTTAAAATTAAAACTAGAAATTCAGTCCTGCAGTTGCAATAACCATATTTTAAGTGCTTAATAACAGGCCACACATGGTTAGTGCCATCTCTGTTGGACAGGACAGATCTAGAAAGAATCCCATATCTGTGAAAATTTAATCTGCCTCCCTGACCCGCCGTATGCTCTAATTTTTTTGTTAGAGAAATAACTTCCTCCAAACTTTCTTTGAGAATACCAATGAGAGGAAATAAGGATTTTAGCCTCCCTGGCTGAAATTTGAAGGAGCTTTTATGAAGCTTTAACTTTCTGGATATTTTTAGTTTTCTACTTTGCTGGGATATACTTAGTTTAAAATTTTTAGACTGCAACTGTGCTGGTATCAACTATTTTAATAGGACTTTCCCATTTGAATGAATTGTTATCAGAAACTGCTGGACGGGACACTTTTTATCCCTCACCAGTACTTGAAAAGTACACAGATTTCTTCAAATGATTTTTATTGTAGCACTGTTACTAATGGCCCAAAGAAAACACACAATTACCTACCAGTATGGGTTTAAAGTTTGCCATACTCATATGGGGGAATGCCTTGTACCTAATAAAGGTAGATCTAGATATACTGACAGCCATCTTTTTATTAGAAAAATATTATAGAGCATTTATATGGTATCATCCCACTGCTTTAATGCATACACTTACATTAAAATTTTCTAAGGCTTGCAAGAAACTTAACAGTGGGATATGAAAAGTGGGTCCTGGGGAGAAGAGGAAATGGTACTTTTCACTTTACAACTTTCTGAGTTATTTGATTTTTTTATGATGAGCATGTATTGCTTTTATAATTAAAAATTAGCAATCCAATGTGAAGTGTGGACCTTGTTTTGACCCTGACTTGAGCAAACCAGCAATAAAAAGATCTTAGAGACGTAATTCTAAATGGTGTATTTGATGTGAAAAAAATTCCATTGATTTTGTGAACATGATAATAGCAGTGTGGTTATAATGTAGATTAAATGACATCAAGAAGAAAAGGGATATATACCTTAATGACTGTGGCAAAATCTTGTTAATTGTTGCATCTGGGTGATCACTATGGGGCTTCATTACACTGTGTGCTTTACTGTGGAATATATTTGAATTTTCATGATAAAATCCTGTAAAAATCAGTTAAGCCATGAGCAACTGCAAAAGAACTGAGCTCTCAAGTCTTTATGAGAATACTGAAACATATGTGCTCACTGATGTTGTAAGTTTTCATCACTAAGAGTGTGAATATATTAAGAATTATAGAAAGAATTCCTCAGGCATTTGGACAAGTTTTCCCCATCACCCAACTAATTTAAGAAATTACCACATATCTACATTCCAGGTTAAAAAAACTGACATCACCTGCTTTTAAGGTATGGGGAGGGGGGAGTCACTAGCAGTAGTTGTATTTATTCTCATGCAATCAACAGTGAAAAGAAAACATTAAGGGTGATAGAAAATATCTGCAAATTAAGATTGTCACAGGCATATGATAAAATGTTTATCATCACTTATCATCAGAGAAATGCATCAAAACCACAATAAAGTACCACCTCACACTGTGAGCATAGCTCATATTAAAAAACAAAAACAAGAAAACTAGAAACAAGTGCTGATGAGGGTGTGACAAAGGAACCCTCTTACACTGCTGGTGGGAATATAGACTGGTCCAGCCCCTATAGAAAGCTGTGTGGTGATTCCTCAAAAGACTAAAAATGGATCTGTCATATGACCCAGTGATTCCACTTCTAAAAATCGACCTAAGGAAAACACTAATTTGAAAGGAAACCTGCATGTTTATTGCAGCACCATTTACAATAGCCAAGATATGGAAACAACTTAAATGTCCCAAAATACGGGGGAAGCAAATATTGTTAAAAAAAAAAAAAAAGACCCAGAATAGATGAATGGATCAAGAAGATGTGGTATATATACGCAATGGAATGCTACTCAGCAATCCTCAAATATAAACTCATGCTTTAATGTCATTTGAGGCAACATGGATGGAGCTTGGAAGGAATTATGCTAAGCAAAGTAAGCCAGGAGAAAGATACTGGATGGTTTCACTTACATGTGAGTATAGAGCAATCAAACAAAGGGTCAAAGACAAACCTTGAAAGTTGACCAGATACGAGGCATCCTGGAGGGGAGGGGTAGAGGCAGTGAGAGGGGAAGGGTGAAAACAGGAGGGGAAGAGCACAGTGGACTATGGGGGAGGACTGTGGGTGTTTTGGTGGTGGGAGAACTATGGTGACCACACATGAGGGGAGAAATCCTATACTGTCTGTAGGGTAAGGAAAAAATATCAGGCTTTTCTGCCCTCCCGCCATTAGGATAGATGAGGGAACCCTGTAGTCCTGAATGCATGCCTCATGGCAGGCACCTGGAGTGGGGACACCTGGGCTGAGACTGAGTTTATAAGGGCGGTGTCGCGGGGACACCAGCAGAAGCCGAGAAGAAGCAGAACGAATGGAAGAGCAGAGAAATAGCGAGAACAGAGCCCAGATAGAGTGAGGATTTGCTGGGGGCTGGGAGGCCTGCCAGCCTCCCGGCCCCCAGCACCCCTGCCTGCCATATGCCTGGTAAATCTAAATAAAAGACCTGCAAAAGCCACTGAGGACTCTGACTCCTCCTTCACCTGGTCTGCTAGATCAGAAAACCTGCACTGTGTCCTTCCTACCGTTACGCTGTCAAAAATCAAGAAGGATGTAAGAAAAAGGTAATTCATTAAAAAGTAATAAAAAGAAAATATCTGCAAATCTTATATTTACAGAGTATATATATTTATTTATCTACACTATATAAAGAACTCCTACAACTTAATCAAGGAAAAGAAAACCAAAATGGTCAAAAAGCAAAATCAACATTTTTTTCATATAAGATATACAAATGGCCAATAAGCACATGAAGTGCTCACTCATTAGGGAAATGCAAATCAAAACCACAATGAGATACCACCTGACACCCATTAGAATGGCTTCTATCAAAAAGCCAGAAAATAACAAATGTTCAGAAAACAAGTGTTGCCCAGGATGTGGAGAACTGGAATCTTGTGCACTGATGGTAGGAATGTATATGATGCAGTCACTAAGGAAAACAGAAAGGTGGTTTTTTAAAAAATTTTAAATAGAATTATCACATATATGACCTACCAATGCCACTTGTGGGTATAAATACAAAAAAAAAAAAAAGAGAAAGTAGGGTCTCCAAGAGATACATACACATGTTCATAGCTGCTTATTCACCACAGCCCAAAAGTGATGGCAACCCCCCAAATGTTCTTTGACAGATGAATGGATAAATAAAATGAAGCATGACCAAATAATGAAATATTATTCAGCCTTAAAAAGGAAGGAAATCTCATTTTATCCTGACAATTTGGTGGTAAAGTTATTATTATAGATGAAAACTGTGGCTTAGCAAGGACAGGTGACTTTCCAAAGTCAACAGCTAGTAAAATGAAGGCCTGGCTTCATTTAAAAAAAGGGGGAGGGGCCTCCCCTGGTGGCACAGCGGTTGAGCGCTGGGCTGCGAAGCAGCCTCTGCAGCCCCGGTTCGATCCTCGGCTGCTGGCGAGGGTCCCACATGGCGCGCAGACCTCTCCTGCCGCGCCCACTGCTCCCCTCAGCAGTATATTTCGTTGTTCTGCCTATTCTGTTCCCTGCTCTGGCTCTGATGAATTCTCTCACCCTCCTGTGCTTCTGACTGTACCCAGTGCTTGTATAAATAAATAAATAAATCTTAAAAAAATAAAAATAAAATAAAAATTAAAAAAAGGGAGAATTCTGACACATGCTACATGGGTGAACCTCAAGGACATTGTGTTAAGTGAAATAAACCCAGTCACAGAAAAGACAAATATTGGGTTGTTGGAAAAGTCATGAAAAACATAGAAAAAATATCATGACATTTCTGACAATCTAACACATGGGAGAGTAGACGCTGTTATTGAAAATAACAACTGGCCCCGAATGGAGTCACTTATGTGATAAGCCTCATGTCACCAAACTGAGACTCCTAGTACTTCACTTAGTTTCCTAGGAGTGTAACCTTTTTATTTTTTTTAAAGATTTATTTATTTATTCAAGAGCTGGGGTACAGGCCAGAGGTGCAGGAGGGTGAGAGGATTCACCAGAGACAGAGTGGGGGGCAGAACAGGCAGATTGACTGAAATACACTGCTGAGAGCTGCAGCGGGCAAGGCAGGAGAGGTCTGCTGCGCCATGTGGGTAGCTCCTAGGGGGACTTGATGAAGGACAAGAATAGAAAAACTGGAAAGGAGGCCTCACAAGACTAAAACCTGACTCACACAAGGAGGTGAGGGGCGAGGGGAATAATATGACCATTAACCCAGCTGTAGAGGTCGTGACCCTCAGGCACCAGTGCCTTATCACAAGGCATGAGACCCAAGCAGGGTCAGACTGCTATAGGGAGTGGAGTGCAGGCCTAAGGTAAAGATACAGAGATTGGGCCCACCCTGGATTCTGTGGTCCCTTTCTAGTGTTGCCTGTTATCCAACATCAGCAACAAGCAGCCACTCCACAGAGGAGTGACCCTCCCAAAGAGAAAAGGACTGTATCAGTGCAGTCTCTGCACAGGCTCGGGGCAGCACTCCCGCTGCCCACCTGTGACTATGCAGGTGCTTCCTCTCAACAACTCTCTCCCTCCTCAGGGCAGCAGCCTCCTGCCTGCCCGTGACCTGTACCTGCCGGGGCTTCTCCTCACTGACCTCCCTCAGCGGAGGCAGCTCTCCTCAAGGCCACCCGCCTGCGACCATGCAGGCCTCTCTCAGCAAACCTGTCCCTTTCCCTAATAAACCTGCTCTTTAAATATAACTAACATCTCTGTCTCATGGAGAAACTCGCCTGGGAAACTCGCCGCGGGCTGCTGAAATGGGAGCTCTGGTGACACCTTTCTCAGAGTGAACCCAAGGACCCCACAACTCCACAAAACGACATCAGACTGAAATTGAACCCATGCTGCAGATGCCGTGGACAGTTACCCAGCACTGTGCTCAACCCGCTGCGCCACCTGGGAGGCCCTCCTAGGAATTAATCTTAAACCAGTCCCTTAGCAATCACCTTATCAGCACTAGTGCAGTCATTGGCCTGAAAGACCACTGCCTTCCCCAAAAGGAAGGTGTAGGGTAAGGAAAAATGTCAGGCTTTTCCGCCCTCCCGCCATCAGGATAGATGATGGATCCTTGCGGTCCTGAATGCATGCCTGATGGCGGGCACCTGGAGTAGGGTGTGGGCATAGGTAGATGGGATTCACCTGGGCTAAGACTGGGCTTTTAAAGGCCGCATCATGGGGACGCCAGCAGAAGCAGGAGAGCAGAGAAGCAGAGAGAACATGAGAGAAGGCCGGAGAACCCAGATAGAGTGAAGACTTGCTGGGGGCTGGGAGGCCTGCCAGCCTCCCGACCCCCCGGGCTCGCTGCCTGCCGTGTGCCTGGTAAATCCCAATAAAAGCCTGCAAAAGCCACCGAGGGCTCCAGGACTCTCTCCTCCTTTACCCGGTCTGCTGGATCATAGAAAATCTGCTCAGTGGCCTGTCCTGCTGTTACAGGTACATAGTCAAATTCAGAGACAGAAATACAATGGTGGTCGCCAGGGACTGGGGGAGGAATGGCAGTTGTTTGATGGGCTTAATGGTAGTCAATATTGCAAGATGAAGAGTTCTAGAGTTGCCTAACAGTGTGGAAGCACTTAATGCTAAACTGTATACTTTAAAAATTGTTAAAGATGGCAAATTTTGTTACCTGTAAGGATAGATTGCTTTTGACCTGAACCTAGAAATCTAAATCTTGGCACCCAATAAAAACAAATTATGTATCTTAAAATAAATGGGGAGAAGAATCACTCATTTTATTTTTTTTCTATAGAGGCATGTTTTATTTATTTATTTGTTTTGTTTATACATGCACTGGGTACAGTCAGAAGCGCGGGAGGGTGAGAGAATTCACCAGAGCCAGAGCGGGGAGCAGAGCAGGCAGAAGGACTGAAGCACACTGCTGAGGGGAGCAGCGGGCGGCAGGAGAGGTCTGCGCGCCACGTGGGACCCTCACCCGGTGGCCGGGGAGCAGCCTGGGATCAAACCGGCACTGCAGAGGCTGCGGGCAGCTTCGCAACCCAGCGCTCAACCACTGCGCCACCGGGGAGGCCCCACTTATCCATTTTAGATCAAAGTAACGAAAGTTACTGTTTCGTGAATGCCTTCTAAATACCATGTACTTCACAAATATTACCTTTAATCCTCATGAGGTAGATGGTTCCATTTTATGAGGAAACTGATGCTCATTAAGATTTTGAAGTTTCCTGTGGGCATTATTACTGACACTAAATAGCTTTAAAATTTAGAAGCATTTGCTTTATAGCATTCTTTATGGAAATATTTAGATCATGTACTCTTAATTTTAGATAAAATTATGTTTGGCATGATGCCTCACAAGTCCCTAGCAACTTATCTTCCATAAAGACCTTTTCCATAGCTTTAAAATAAGTAGCACTTAGAAAGGCTTCGTTTTTTACTATGTGGATATCAACAAACCTTAGTTACTTCTTGATATTTTAATGTGATGCTAATGTGTATCTCTAGCTATATTCATGTTTCCTCTCTATATGCTAATAATGAAATAGTGATACCATGTACTGTGCTAAATGCTTTACAGTATTAGATACTTTCCAAATTATTCTGAGGTAGAGACTGTTTTCACTTCTACTTATACTTGAGACATAATGAAATTAGTTGCTACAAGTTTAAAGCTATTAAGTGTCTAAGAAGTGTTTTAATTAAGTCCATTAAGTCTGATTGGGAGTTTGTGCTTTAGTGAGCAACATATTTCAGTGCAAAGCAATCTAGGTATTTTTTTCCTGGTAGAGAGCTTTTGGCATAGCAAGGGTTTCCCCAAACTGATGACAAGTGCAACTTGAATGCATACAAAAATAACATTTATTAACTTAAGCTGTCCCATATATTGATTAGTCAACCCAAAAAATTTACACAAAGACTTAAGTAAAACCCACAAAATTCTAATCAGTCTGAATTTTGTTCTCAATAGGACAAGAGACTTTCTTTTGCTTAAAACAAAAAGCAGAATTGCTCCAATTCCATTTAGTAGAAGGATGCAGTTGTGTGGGAAGCCAAGACAATGTCAATGAGGCTCTGTGGCTCATGTAATGAATCTGCTGCCCACATAAGGAAGCTGCCTGCTGCCCAAAACTCAGAACCAGTGCCAGTTTCTTTACTATTAAGGCAATGGTCTTAGGCTCCTTATTATAAAAGTTCAAACAAAATTCCAAAGCCCTTAGATCTTCCTTGAGGTGGCAGACTGGCAGATGCTGATTTGGAGCACATGGCATTGTAGAAGCTGAAATCACTCTGCTGTAGTCTTTTGTGCTTTGGCAGCATTTTCCAAAATTTTCCTTTTCCATTCTTCATAATCCTGTGTCACATTGTCATCTTTTTGTGGTTTATGTGAAGCTTCTACTATCTTCTCAATTTCTGTAAGAAAAATTTCAAGCATGTCAAAATTTTCATGTTTACAAATGAAACTAAAGAAGTACTTTTTAACTTTAAAGTGCCTAATAAGGTAACAGGACATTAGCTACTAAAATAAAAAGTGGAACTAGCAAGTAACACAACAGTTTTCACTCTCCCTTTTAAGATCCAAACACTCCAAGACATCCTGCTATTTTAACACCCATTAAACACTGTCCTTGTTCTTGAGAGGCACTGAACTAAGCACTTTAATTATATTACCTTGTGAACCCTTGCCATAATCCTACAAAGTGCTAGTACAGAACTGGAAATTGAGGATCATAGAAATTAAGCGAATTTCCTAAAATCATGCAGCCAGAAGTGGTTACAGGATCTGAACCCAAGCAGTATGGTTTCAGATGTGTTTTTATTTACACACTTCTATTAACTTCTGTAAATGACTGCCTGGAAATGGTCCTATGAAATGACTGTCAGGATTTATTTAAAATCTGACCCCTGTCAAACAGTCTGCTAAAAAAGCACAGGACTGTTCAGTGCATTAAACCTATTACACACTAATCCCCCTGGCAGTAAAGTTAATGTTTGTCTAGTGTTAGTAACTCCTTACTCTTGACTGGAGGTTCAATCGCTGTCTTTTTTTTCTTTTGAAGTGGAGTAGCTGAATCTTCAGGCTCTCCTTTAAGAAAAAGTTTCATCAAGGTTAATTTTTCTCCTGCTGTCAATTTTTGTATTTGGGCATATTCTGGATCAACAAATAAAAATTAGATACCTTGACCCACCAAATATTAGAATAAGGAGAATGCAAAGGACAGTCCCCTTCTCTTTTTCAGACCTTAGAATCACTTTTATTCTACCTCATATAGATGGAGGCTGGCACATTAGCAAAATATCTAGGGGAGGGAAGGAACCCAACAGAACATTGGTGGAGGATTATTGGGGCACTGGTGGTGGGCAGGGTGTGAAAATAAAAATTTGTAGAGGTTTGAACCTGTAATTCCCAAAGCAGATACAACACGAAAGCCTACTTTCCCTTAATAAACATCTTTTTTTGGGGAAAAATATTTTCAGGAATTGATTCATGGAACCAATTATTTTTTAAAAAGTTAACCTACTTTACTAGAAAAACAAAAAAAAAAAAAAGACTTTCACTGGCAGATCTATATTTTCAAACAACACATTCTTGAAATATTAAGTAATACTCACTGGTGATCTTCTCTAATTGTTGCCCAATCTTCTCTAATTGTTTACACAGTCGATCAAATATGGGTTTTTTTACACCAGATACGGCTACCATTTTATTTTTATCCACTTTTAACTTTAGAATCCTACAAAAGAATTTGATAAATTATGTTCTTGAAGACCACTGCAGTTATCTCTTCTTACCAGATTATCAGCTTACTTCCTTTATGCCCATTGTTTCTGAACAGCCCCCAATTATCTAGTTTCCCTTTTATTCCAAATATATATTATTAGTTAGAACCATGCAGACTTGCCTTTTAAGCTGTTGTTTATTTGATCGGAGAGTTAAAAGGTGAATTTAACAAAAGGGACACATAAGCATTTGCTATAGTGCTTCATGTCTTTATCTTTCTTAGTAAACCTCAGATGTTACAATTTGCTGACTAACAATCATAGCCTTTCAACTCACTTAAAGCCATGATAATTTTATTTATGCTGTCTGAATGGAAACTACCCACCCCCTCCCCAAAATTCTTCCTAGTAATACTTCATAATAACCACTAATAAAAAATATAAAATAAACTTATTTAGAATAGTTCTACTCAAACCTTGTTTATTGTAATTTGGTGTCAAGTCAGGACCATTTTCTACAACAGTTGTACTCCCTCCCCATATACATATACCTTCTTTGGATTAAAGGGACATTTCATATAAAAGTAAATTAATCATTCCTGGGTATACAGCTAAAAGAGCCAAAGACACCAAATAAGTGACTGGGTAGTGAGAAACCCATTCTTTAATGGCCAAGTACTTTCTGCTTTCTAAGAAATTTTTTTTTTCAGTAAGATAAAACAACTTTAGACAAAGACAACAATTACTAATACTTCCAGGGCAACATTTCAACATACAGAAAACTCTAAATTTTAAGATATAAAGAATCACTGAAATATTTTATACACTATTTGATAAATGTCTGCAATAGGCACTTGAAAATGACAAGCAACCAGTGTTTTAATGACAAACTTAATCATTTATTAGAGGCAGACCCTGAAATCAGAATACTCAACTTATATAAATGGCTGTTACTTGGCAAATGGACTTCTGGAAACACCAGTCCCATGTGTCAGCTATACTAAGGGATAAACTGAGAATCTGGTTACTCAGCCACTATTCCTAGTATCATTTATACAGGAAAATAAACATGCTGAGTTGGAAACAACTAAATTGGAAGTATTTGGGGGGAATGAAAAAATGTATGTAAATGGTGACTTTTCTGTTAAAAGGTGCACTTACTTGCATGCCGAAAGTAGTGCAGCAGTGGTAAAAAGTGGCCTTGACAAGTCAAGATCCACTTGCTGTGTTTGTGGAAGACTGGACTCATAGCTAGGAGAAAGCGGTGGTTGCAGAATTATTTGTCAGAACATATTTCAAAGGAACTGAAGATGCAAATCAGAACTAGAAACCTATTCAAATGCATGGACATGCATTCTATCACTTTCACATGAGTTACTTTTTTAAAAAGATTATTTATACATACATAATTACATGCATGCATGCATACATACATACATACATACAAGCACAGGGTACAGTCAGAAGTGCAGGAGGGTGAGAGAATTCGCCAGAGCCAGAGCGGGGAGCAGAACAGGCAGAAGGACCGAAGTACACCGCTGAGGGGAGCAGTGGGCGCGGCAGGAGAGGTCTGTGCGCCATGTGGGACCCTTGCCGGTGGCTGGGGATTGAACTGGCGCGGCAGAGGCTGCAGGCAGCTTTGCACCCCAGCGCTCAACCGCTGCGCCACCAGGTGAAGCCCATTAGTTATTTTGTTAAGACTGAAAATTACGAGAACATTGGAAAATTTTGCTTTATGCATCAGTCTAAATTTTTAATGAAGGTTCTTTGTGCCTCATACCTTTGCAGTATTTTTGAAGCGATGTTCACTGCTTCTGTACAGCTAAATTGTACAGCCAGGTCTCTTATTCCAATACTTGAATTCAGGCCCAGTAAACACTCAAAAGATTTAAGACAGCTCTGATACATCTTCTTGTTCAAACCAGAAAGTTTAATTAAATAAGCCTTTGAAAGGAAAAACATACAAATCATAAAAATCATAAATTCTATATACCAATGCACTTAAACACTTAATAAGTCAACTTTTCAAAATTAATTTTGTGGCATCACTCTACGTCAAGGGTTAGCTTCATTTAGTCAAAAATCAGTAACCACGTCAGACAGTTAAGCACTGCTCTCAAAGAGCTCATACTTTAGAAAGGCAGGATGAGCCTTTTAAAATTTAAAATTAATTGAAAATACAACATAGTGTTACTACAGCCAAACTGTGAAGAAAACATAAAGGAGATGCATACAATGGTCACCATTTTCCTTCCTTCTTTCTTTTTTTTTTAAAAAGTAAAGGTCTAATGTGCAATTCATTGGGAAAAGGAGGAAAGAAGTGGGAGTTGGGTGGGGAGGGTAAGTGTGTGGAGAAGGCAAAAGGAGAGGAGAGGGAAACCAACTTTGCTTGGGAGAGTCAAAGAAACCTTCATAAAGGATGCCGCAGCAAGGCAGGGTCATGTAAGACAAATAGGTGCTTAAAAAGTTGGTGCATTCACAAAGTCAGTCATTAAAGTGGTCTGTTAAGTGTACAGTGTCGTCTGAGGTTAGGGTTAAAGAGAGGCTGTTGATTTTGATGGGGAACCAACCCACTGGGAGCCAACGGTGTTTTAAATGCCACCATTTAAGGAGTGTACTATTGTAGTACAGGTATTGTGTTAAGTGTACATGTAATATATTGTTCAATCCTTAAAATGATCCAGTGAAATGGATATTCTTATATTTACTATATGGATGAGGAAACTGGAGGCTCACAGAGTTAACTCGTGCTGTTAAGATTTGGTCCCAACATGTGACTCTGCCTGATTCCACAGCTTGTGTTCTCAACCACTGTGATACTGGAAGGAAAACATAGTTTCTTTAGGTAGGTACTTTAGAAGGCTGATGTTAGTGGCAGCATACACGATACACTAAAGTAAAAAAAGAAGTGGCCAGGGAGACTATATACAGGTATCCCTTGCTTTCCCAAAGTTTACATTATGCCACTTAGCCTTTACAAAAGACCTACATTAGTACCTGTTTTCAAACTGAAAGAAATGTCACAATGGATGAATTCACTCATGTGGAATATAGAGAAACAAAACAAAGGGACAGACAAAACTCGAAACAAACCCTAGAAATATGGCTGTAGAATTGAGGCTACCACAGGGGGAGGAGAGAGAGGGCAGCACAATGGTGGAAGACCGCCGGTGCTTTGGTGTTGGGCATGGTATGGTAATATACATTTGTAAAGGTATAAACCTGTACCTCTAAATCACAGAGTTTTGTAAATCAACGTTACAATAAAAAGTGAAAAACAAAGAAAAGTGAAGGGAATTTTCACTTTTATAGCAAAAGGTAAAAAGTGAAAATAGGGGCCTCCCTGATGGTGCAAGGGGTTAAGCACCACACTATGAAGCAATCTGCAGCCTCTGCAGTATGAGTTCGATTCTCGGCTGGCCAGGGAGCAACCCACATGGTACGACAGACCTCTCCTGCCTCGCCTGCTGCTCCCCTCAACAGTGTATTTCGTCAGTCTCCTGTTCTGTTCCCCACTCTGTCTCTGGTGAATCCTCTCACCCCCTGAATCTCTGGCCTGTACCCCAGCTCTTGTAAGCATAAATAAATCTTTAAAAAAAAAAAAAAAGTGGAGTGTTCAATATTTATTTTGTAGCCAAGTGTTTTAGAGGCAGCATGCCCACCTAGGAGCTGCGAGAGGGTCACCACGTTTTCCCCAGGAGCTACTTTATATAAGCTGAGTGTTTATCCTGCATTTACTGTATGTTAATGTGACTGTAGGTTTGCTGTATTATTTGTTATGATTTGATAGGTTTGGTTATGAATACTCAAAAATTTTTCCATATGAATTGTTTTTGTTTTATGCCACGTCAGGTTACAAAAGGTTTCACTGGAACACTTTAATTTCTGAGAGCTGAGAAAAACTGCAGTAAAGAGTAAAGAAAATGTTGCAATTTTTTTTCCCTTTAACTTGAGAAAATGGTTCTATAGTTCATTGAAAACAATGACATGAGCTCAGTCAGCAAAATTGGAAAGAGTTTAGAACAGGGTCTAGTCCAAGTAGAAATTGCAATGTACAATTAAGCTTCAGTGTTACACTGGATTATTCAGACATTCAATGAAACCTACTCACCCTGTCTAAGGGGCAGGTCATACAGGAAGCCGCAAGGTCCAGACACATGACTGCATTGCTGGTTTCCGTGGTATGTGCTGACAGGCCAACACACTTCACGTGGGATAGTCGCAAGTATTCCTCTGCTTTCCTGGTTATAAGAGGGATAGTGTTTCAGGGCAGCCCCGATATAAAACGGGTTGCCAGGCTGTGGGTCCCCACCCGCGCGCTTAAAGGGACTTAATACTCCACTGCAGGCACACACAAAAGGTTAATAAAAGGTTTATTTACAAGGGAAGGGGAAATAAGGGAATGTACAACTCAGGGAGGAAATAGGGAAATAAAGTCTTAAATGCGTCCTACTCTATCCCCTGACCTGGAAACCCAATGGCACTCTGAGAGCTGGCCGAAGAGCCAAAAGGGCGCCCCCCAAGGCCCAAGTATCTGGTTTTTATACCAAACCTGGCTGCTTAACTCCACCCTCAGGTTCCAGCAACCTTCCCTTTGGTGTGATGGGATTTGTCTTTCCCAATGTCCTGATGGCTTCAGTCTGGAGTCCACAAAGCCTGTATGGAGTTTGCTCAGGACATCCTTTCCCCCTAACAATAGGATCACTAGAACTCTTTCCCAGAACTTTGCCAAACAATGAACACAACCTGATGCTCTTCATTCTGAGCCCACCTTCTACGCAAGCTTATTTACAGCTAAGATGGACACTCACATCCTTGGGGGGAGCTGGGGGAGGTTCTGTAAGACAGAACCTGCCCTATTGTAACAGGGTGGTCCCCAGGAAAGGGGGAGGTTCCAGGTTCCCTGTCCCACCCAAATGCAGGGTGGAGCTGAGCAGGGAGAGAGGAAGCTGCAGAGGAGACTGAGAAGGAAGGAAGGAAAGAAGGAAGCAGGATGGAGCCAGGAGACCTGGAGGAGGCACATGGAGCAGAGAGACACGTGAAGAAACTGCGCTTGTCTTTTGTTCGTGGACGGGGTGACACAGATGTGGGTGAGACCCGAGGGGAGGTGACAATGGCAGCTTTTATCTTGATGTTGATTTTGCTCTTTTCCTTCCGGGCTTGTCTGGTTGTTTCTGACCCTTTGCTGTGGGTCCCCACTGGAAGATGCTTTAGACTTGTGGCAGGCTTTGGGGCCTTGTTCTGGGCCGATCCCATCTGGGTGGAGTTTTACCCACGAGGGCACAGGTAACTTTGGGTGCTTGATTTAGAAACTGGATTCTTTGCCTTTCCTGTATTGTTTCCTAGTTGTATCAAAGTCTCATATGTTTTGTGTTGATGCGGCGGATGGCAGAACCCATTTAGAGCAGGCAGGTTGGCGGGGTCTGGGCTGCCCCTCTCCCTGCCCTGTATTGTAATTAACACTCTGACTACAGACACGACTGTATTCAAGTACTGTCAGGCAAAAGTGAGTTCCGGGGTGCCCCCTCCCTGCCCTATAACCCTACACCCGACAGAACTAGCTGCTCCAGGGACCCCCACCAGCCCCGCGGGAGCCCCTCACACCAGCCCGCAGCGCCGAGTTCCCCTCCCGGGCGGGCCTGCTCTCGCCCGGCTCCAGAGACCCCTCTCCCTCCCGCGTCGCAGGCCGCGCGCGCCTCGCCTGAGGAGGGTCCAGGGCCGCCGGGGCTGGCGTGGCCGCACTCACCTCAGCACACCGGGCTCTGCGACGCCCAGACGCTGGGCTAAAGGCCGGATCAGCCCGGACTCCATGGCGACCTCAGCCTCCACGAACCGCTGCGACGCTACAAAATGCGCGCGCAGACTCCCCCCCGGCCAATCAGGACTAGGTCCCACCCCCCGGCTGCATTCGGATTGGTGGAGACAGGACGTTGCGGCGTCCTACAAACCAAGCCTGTTATTTTTTATGCGCACGCGCATCACGAACGCAAGCGCCTACCAAGCGACCTACAAAGGGCTACTTCTTTTTATTCCTCCCTCACATACAAACTAGTCAAGCGCCGCCGTTCCCCTCGGCTGTCTCTCCCGCGTCCCAGAGATTCCCGTTACTCCGCGCGTCCCGGCCTCTCTCTCACACTGTGAGCCCGGCTGACGCCCAGATCCATCAGCCCCGCGAGAGGGGCGACGGCCAATAAACACGCGAGACTTGGTTCCTAGAAACCGGCCAATCCGGAGGCCGGAGGCCCGGCGGGGCGGGGCTTGGAGGGGCCGCAGCGTCAGCTGACCGCGGGAGGCTCCGCGCGGGTGGGTGCTGCTTGCTGCAGGCTCTGGGGAGTCGCCATGGTGAGTGCTGGGGGCCCCGGGCCCGGGCCGACCCTCCTGCCACCCCGCGCGCGCCCACCGCCCGAGAGCCTGGCGGGCGGAGTTGGGCCCCCGCAGCCGGATCGAGGCTCAGGCCGACCCAGCCTGGCCTACGGGATAGAGACGGGCTGGGAAGGCCGCGGGCTCGCGGGTGTGGGCCCGGGTGGGCGGCGGCTCCTGGCCCGGCCGTTGCTCGGAGACGGGGCGGCCTCTCTGAGGGGCCTCCAGCCCGAGGCCGTGTGTGTGGGGGGGGGCGGGGGTGTTGGGGTGGGGTGGAGGCCGGCGCCGGAGCCTGAGCAGCCTCGGCCCTAACTAGCAGCGCCGACCTGGGGGCCCAGAGCCGGGGCGTCTGGCCGGGGCTGGGGCGTGCCGAGGGCCCGAGGCTCTGAGGTGGCGTCGGGACCCGCCCGGTTATTGCTCCTTTGCTGTTTGCACCTTGGTGCGTGGTTGTGCCCGGCCGACCCCACGCCCTTTGCTGCGCGAGAAATGCCTCCCGGAGGGCCCGGAAAGGTGCCCTGGCCTCGGCTCCAGGGCCCCCACCCTGGACGGCGGTGCTGGTCAGCCAGTTCTGGGGACTCGCATACGTGATTTTCCTGGAAGGACGCATGATCCGATGGCCAGGAATTTTGACAGGCGGAAAAAGGGACCGCTGTTTCCTTTAACTCTTGTGCATTCGGCAGCCTGGCTGCTTACTCGGCTCCCCAGTGATGAAATGCAAGTATTTCACTTGCTGGGAAGTAGGCTTTCTCGCCCTAGCGCCGCTCCTTGATGGCAGGCAAACCCTGGTGTGTGTGCCTGCTGGCTTGGACTTCCTCAAAATGTGAATCCTTGTGTCTGGTGTCTATGAAGGCAAGTTGCCACTTGCTTTTTATTAGCGTTCTGCAGAGTGTGCACTGTGGAAGTAGTGTTTTTGAATGGTGGTGGATTATATGTCAATTTTAAGGTTTCATTCATTTTATGTGGACGGGTTTCTGGAAACCTGCAAATCCCTGCAAACAGGGTTTATGTTGGACATGCAGTCCTTTCAGGATAATGTGTTGACATACAGGGTGATTTTGCATGCTTTTCAGAATTTTTACAATAGGGATTTCTATGGAAAAACAGTGTAAAAATGACGACTTCGCTATTTCTCAACATCTATACACCTCAATTCTCTGCTGAATAAACGGGGTTTGAAGCTGAGCTGAATACATGGTGCTGTCTTCATGAATATATTAGGAAAGGAAACTTGGGTTTATCTTGTCACAACCAATGTGTGTATTACTTCGACTAGTCTCTCAGACTTTCTTTGGGTTTCACTTTTTTATCTGAAAAAACATGTTGGCTGCTTTGGTTTGTCCCAGTTTTGAAAGTCCGGCATCTATTTAAATTCAAGGTCTTTTGTACCTTCTGTGTCATGGAAGATGGGAGATGTTGCAGACACACACAATGTGTGTGTTTGTCTCAAAAAACTTAGTGGCCAAGCAGGGAGAAGTGCTTGTGGAATTTCGTGTAATGCAGTCAGGATTGCTTTATTAGCACTGTCAACTCAGTTGTGAGGTGTGGAGGGAGAAATAGTTCTGGCTGGAGAGCTTGGGAAAGACTACAGGAAGTAACATGTAAACTGAGACTTCTGAGGAGGAGCAGCAGAAATTTTTCCAGGTATAGGTGAATCTCCAGGTGTAGATGAATCTGGAAGAAGTGACTGTTCATGTGTGCTCCATCCTGAGATTTCTGGGGAAATGTATTGGTAAATGAGGTTGGTATTAAAATTCTGTTTTGAAGTTCTTACCCCCTCATCTTCCTTAATTCTCTCTACTGCAGTTGTAAATTTGTGCCTTATTACTTTTTAAATAGCACTTTCATTAGCATGAAATTCTTTATCTTTGTGAGCCTGGTTATTTTCATTTTACAGTTGATTTGCATTGTTTTAGATGACATGTATGGCCTGAGTGGAGAGACTGATCAGCAAGTAAATGGCTAGGATGGGTGGAGCTAATTGTGTGTACCTGTTGAGGATAAAATAATGGTAACACTTATGAAGTGTTTATTACTAAGTACTGGGCGTGTTTGGAGTTTTATCTGTCATCTCACTTATTTCTCATAGCAGTGATATAAATACTATTATCCCTGTTTGATAGATGAGAAAATTAAGAGTACATTGTTGGAGAGTAATTTTGTAAGTCATTAGTTTGTGATGACCTTTGATTTTCTCTGCATGGTACAACTTTAGCCTTTAGAGCTGTTTGACCGAGCCTCATGTTAAAAGGGCCTAATCACAAATATTAATTTGATCTTGATTCTCAAGTGTTTCCATTTTTCTCTGATCCATGTAACTGATTAGTATAGTCATTTGTAAATGGAGAGCCCCTTTCATGGGTGAAGAGACATTGGTCACCTGACTTCTGTTAATGATAGCAAGTTGAAACTGTCTCTGTAACACTTAACAGAAAGGATCTCAAGACACTCCCTTAAATAGGCATTTGTGTCTTGGTACAGTGTAGTACAGTAATACTGTACTATAGTCTTGCTAGTAATATGTAAAAATACATTTCTTCATAATAGCTTTATTTCCTTATCTGTAACCTTCTTTATAATAAGTCTAATTTTCTACATTTTGTATTTACACAAAATGGAAGTTGACAAAAAATGGAAGAATTATGCTAAAATTTTACTTGTTAGTATGTCACGGAATCTACTCAATTCTACACAATATTTTTGGGCTTGTTTGTACTTCTTCATAACCAGTTTTATTTGCTATATAGAAGTAATTATTTTATGCAGTAGCCGAAAGGTGGATGCAATCAAAGTGTCCATCAGCAGATGAATAGAAAAACAAATGCGGTATGATGGAACGTTCGGCCTTAATAAGGGGGGGGGGATTTCTGACACATGCTAAAAGCATGAATGAACCTTGAAGACATTATACTAAGTGAAATAAGCCAGACACAAAGTACAAGTACTGTATGATTCTACTTACACGTGTTATCTAGAGAAGTCATTCATAGAGAATGGTGTTTGTCTGTGGTGGGAGAGGGTCAGTGGGGAGTTACTGTTTAATGGGTACAGAGTTTACCTTTATAGTTATTTTACTGCAGTAAAAAGTGACTAAAAATTGCCCAACTTGACTGTCTGAACCTAATGAATCCATGATTCTAATAATTGTAAAATCTGTTGCATTCAGAGGTAAAAAGCCAAAATAATCCAAAGCATAACTTTGTGTCATTAAAAGTCTCAGAAGGCTCGCTCATGAAGAATAGTAAATTTCATTAAATCAGAACCCTTAAATGCTTGTGTCATCCTTGCTTGTGAGACCAACATTTTATACTAATCGTTCTATAGAAATTAGTGTCCCCTTTACATTTAATGTAAGTTTAAATTTAAATTTAAATCTAAATTTAAATTTAGAATAAGACGCAGCTTATTCTTTGATATTTATTTGTGCTTCTGAAGTGTGGTTGCAGTTTGCGAGAGTGTGCCTTAGAAAAGAGTAGAGACACATGGCATCGCTTGTTATTCAGTTAATTTTTTTCTCTTTCCAGAATTAGACCAAGAGAAAGATCTCAATTTTTACAAATAATTCTAGTTCAGAAGTGTGTTTTATGTTGATTTTAAAGTTAAATGTTGTTTTGATTATCTTAGGTAATAGAATAGACCAGGTTTCATGTTTATATGATGTAAGTTCTTGCCATCCATCCACCTTTCCAGGTAATTGTGTAAGAGACATTCTATCTGTAGTTTTTCTTTTTTTTAAGTTATGGTGAAATTCACATAACAAAAAATTAACCGTTTTAAAGTGAACAAATCTGTGGCATTTAGTACCTTCACAGTGTTGTACAACCACTACTTCTGCCTAGTTCCAAAACATTTTTATCACCCCAAAAGAAACCATGTACTCGTCAGTGGTAATCCCTCTACTCTTCTTGCTAACGACTAATCTACTCTTTATTTCTAGTAATGTAAGTGACTTAACTTACATGTAAATGAAATTATACAGTATTTTGTGTATGGCTTCTTTCTTATGTTTTCTAGGTTCATTCATGTAGCATGTATTAATACCTAAATTTTTTTATTTCTACTTAAACAATGACTTTATTGTTTAATATAAACATATTTTTGCAACCTGGGTAGAGGCTGTGGACAATTGTTATTTCCAAATTGGGGTTGGGATGTGTGTGGAAAAGGACCATTTTGGTGTTATAATAGTGTACCAACCAGTGGATACAGCTCTTGATGAAAACCAGAGAATTTAACATTCTTATCCTTTTGTTCTCATCAAGATGATTTCAGTCATATGGTAGAGAACCTTAGGAAGATCAGGAGCAAGTCCTTTGAACTTAGGAATTCCCTTAGGATTTTATTGTCACAAAACATACTTGTGCCCTATCAAGTATGTCTCTTAGGATCACTCTAATTTGTGAGGCATTCAGATCCTTCTCAGCCTGACTTATGATCAAATATTCCACGGTATGTGTGTCAGTCCTTTACTAAATACATAATCTAAATATTCTAAAATCAGCTCATATGATCATATTGTGAACATTCATTATATGTCAGGTAATATGTTGAGTCCCAAAGATGTAAAAATGACTTATTTGTAATGTGATGCATGCTGTAGTAGAGGTGTAAACACAGTGTTTATACATCATAAACGACAGAAGGTTAATTATACTTGACAGGTAGAGCTAATTCATTTTGCAAGTAAATTTTTGCTGATGGCAAAAAAGAATATCTACATATGCATATGTATGTATATAAGATGATGATTATTATTTTTTTTGTGTGTGTGTGTGTGTAGAAGAACTGGCATGTAGGCCAGAGGTAGGGGGTGGGGGTGAGAGGATTAGCCGAGTGGG